GTTTTGCTGGTACCCAGCTGCTGAGTGAAGAGTCTGCCTTAATTTTGTCTCCTATGGACAGGGCTCAGGCATGACTGTCCCATCTCTGTCATCTTTTCATCCCTGGGCTCCCTGAGACCTGATGCCAGCCTAGAAGAAAGGGGGGCTTCCCATGTGATGCCCAAGAGGCAGCATGGATCAGCCTTGGGACGGTAAACTTGTACAGGGTCCATCATAGGCCCAACTCATTTCAGGCGTGACCTAAAACTACTAGTCCCTGGGCCCCATGCAGATGCACCTGAAAGTCACAGCTGGTGCCTATGCCTATGCAAGGAGAAAGAGAAGGAGGCCAGGGTGCATCCTGCAGATTGCGTCAAGAGACCTGGCCAGGGCTGAAGTGGCCCATCTTCAGCAGAGCTGCCACCCAGCAGACTCAGTGCCCACTGTAGGCGGAAGTGCAGGCACACTGGGCCCACTAGCCTCCAGGTCGGGAACAAGCAGTCAAAATGTCCCTACCCGACTCCAGGAGGCGCTTTGGGGCCAGAGGGCTAGCCCTAGGGTCCATATTAATTTCAGCTCCATTTTAAAGGCGAGTTAAAATAAACATGAGGAATATTTATAAGGCAAATAAATCTGGCAGAAACAGCCCCTCCAAGTGTGAGCAGAGGCCTCCCCCTCAGCCCCAACCCAAGCTGATAAAATACAGAAATGCTACTGTAGACCCTCCGGGCTTATTTTGACTGCTGCAGAGGAATGTAACATGTAAACACTCACTCCCGTATTACACTGTTACAACTTGCATTAACAGCCTTGGACAAAAGCTGCATTTTCACAGAAGCATCGTACAGGGATATATCTCTAGCTTAATTTTTAAAAAACCATTTCCTCACATAAATCATGCTCAGAATGAAACGGGTGACTGATACATTGCAAACACTTTTTTTTCTTAAACAATAACATACCTAGATTCCTTCTAAACTAAAGAGCTTTTAAAAAAAAATCTCCTAAATGTTTTTTTTCTGAAGAAAATAAACACTGTAGTTTCTTTCCTGACCAAAATATCTGGGGCCATGTCTTCCCAGTAGAGCTGGCTGCTCACAGCACACAGTCACAGGGAAGAGGTCCTTAAGCCACGGGCCACCTCACTGGAGCTTAATCCTCCACTGTGTATCCCCCGCATGGGGTCCCTCTCCGCAGAAATGTGCAGGCATACAACTCAGAAAATGCTGCCCTGGTGACAGGCCAAGGTAATGACCTGAGCCCACAAGAGGATGTAGCCTGGACAGAGGAGGAGGGCAGGGACTGGCCTCCTAGGCTGCCACACGTTCAAGGCTCTTTCAAGACAGGTTTAGCACCTAGAGCATTACAGAGAGGCTGGGAAAACATGTCTAAATTTCATGAAGGGAAATCAGCATGAAGGAAACCAAGAAGATTTGAAAACACCAGTCCCAGTGGCCAGAGGCAGAACTGGGGCCCCCGAGTGGGGATGGTGTTTTCAGATAGGGGCCAGGATGTCGCCTGGGAGGGGCACCCTGGTAGTCCACCAACAATGGCAACCAGCCACTGTGGGATATACAGTAAAGGAAAAATCCAACCTGTGGAAGCCCTACAGGAAAATACAGGGACTTCAAAAAAAAAATCTTGGAGGTAGGGCAGGGCTTTCTGAACATGTAAGAAATCTAAAAGCCATGAAATGTAAGAAGAGATTTAAGTTACATCGAAGAAAAAAAAAAGAAAACCATTTGTACATTACACAAGTTAAAAGACATGAGAAGCTGAGAAAATCTGCTCCGTGTATAACACAGGATCCCATCTTTAACACACAAACCAGCTGGAAGATAAGCAAAAGATAAGAGAAACCAACTGGATAGAAAGTAGGCCACAGACCGAACTCACGACTCACACACACGTGCCCAGGCTCACACACTCTCACACAGACACTCTCAGTCTCAAGAAAGGCCAGTAAACACACAAAAAGATGACTGACTGTAGTAAACAGAATCAGATTGTGTTTAATCGAGCAGGTAGTCAAAGATAAAAGACCAAGCCAGGTGCAGCGGTGCATGCCTATAATTCCAGCACTCTGGGAGGCTGAGGTGGGAGAATCATAAATCGGAGCCCAGCCTTAGCAAGATCCCATCTCAAAATAAAAAAAAAAAAGGACTGAGGATGTAGGTCAGTACAAAGGACCCTGAGTTCTATTTCCAGTATTACACACACAAAAACATACATATATACATTAAGAAATCTGATAAAGATAAATAAATAATTAAAAATAAAAAACAGATAAGGGACTAGAAGTGCAGTTAAATGGTAGAACACTTGCCCAGCATGTCCAAGGCGCTGGGCTCAATTCCCAGTACTGCTAAATAAATAAATAACCAAACAAAATCTAACAAACCAAACAAAAAATCCAGATAACCTAGAAATTACGGCACAAAGGAAAAAAGTGATAATGTGACAACCTAAAAAATTAAAAATTTGGGCTGGGTGTGTAGTTCAGTGGTAAAGTGCTTCCCTGGCATGCACGAGGCCGTGAGTTCAATTCTAGTACCATAAATAAATAAATGAATGAATAATTTTTAAATATTATGACATTAAAAGACAAACCACAATCAGATGATCTGGTAGAAGGCAGCAGACAGATGGATACAAACTGGCATGAGCTCAGCTGTAGACAGGGAGGGGTGACATGTGCCACAGGCAACAGGAACCATGTGGCTCCTGCACAAGAACTGGAAGAGATGTTCCTTTGCATTTTATGATTTTGTACTGAGGGTTAGACCCAGGGAGCACTAAGCTCCATCTCCAGCCCTGTCATTTATTTTTATTTTTGAGACCAAGTGTCACCAAGTTGCCTAGGCTGGGCTTGAATCTGTGATCCTTTTGCCTCAGACTCCAGAGTAGCTGGGATGATAAGTACGTTTCACTACTACTGGCCCATTTATGCCTTACAAGTTGATGCCAAGTTATGGAGGGACAAGGAGAAGCAGGTAAAAGTGTGTGTAGGACAGGGTGCAGCTACCCTGAAGCAAAATGTCTTGTAGTTGAAGGTCATTGACCCTTGGACCAGGATTTTCTACTTCTAGGAAAGACCCTGTTAGGTATATATAAAATGTATAAAACTACCTCACCTGTCAAGACCAGAAAATAAAAAGTGTTGGAGGGATGTGGAGACACTGGAGCCCTGTCACACTGTCAGTGGGATTCAAGATGCTAAAACTGCTGTGGAAAAGTTTGGCAGTGTCTCAAAAAGTCCCAGCAATTCTACTTCTAGGCTTATACCCAAAAGAACTGAAAGTAGGAACCAAATAGTATTTGTACCCCTATGTGTACAGCTATGTTGTCCACAACAGCCGAGAGGTACAAGCAACCCAAGTGCCCATGGATAGATGAATGGTAAGTAAAATGTGATATATACAAACAGTATGGCATTATTCAGCCTTAAAAAGGAAGGAAATTCTGACATGTGCTCCAACGTGGAGAAACCTTGATGATATTATGCTAGTGAAATAGGCCAGTCAAAAAAGGACATATTGCTGTGTGTCCACTTGCAGAGGTAGTCAAAGTTGTCACATTCATAAAAACAAAAAAGAGAATGGTGGTTCCAGGGCTAGGGGTGAGAGGAGATGAAGAGTTACTGTTTCATGGATGCAGAATTTCAGAGGGGGAAGATGAAAAGAGTTCTGGAGATTGGATGGTGGTGATGACTGTACAACATTATGAGCACATTTAATATCAGTGAACCATATACTTAGAAAGGCCAAGATAGTCATTTTGGGGCGGGGGGGTACTGGAGATTAAACAGGGCTTTCACACTGAGCTACATTCCCAACACTTTTTTAATTTTTTTTTTTATTTTAAGGCAGGGTCTTGCTAGATTGCTATGTTGTCCAGGTTGGGCTAGAACTTGTGATCCTCCTACCTTAGCCTCCCAGAGTGCCAGATTACAGGTATGCGCTACCAAGCTTGGGTCAAGATGATAAATTTTATATGCATTTTACTATAATTTTAAAAAGTGCAAAAAGGGATAGTGTACATAGATACATATCAAAAGGTTTCATTGCAGCATGTACAGGGATGAGAAACTACTGAGATGCTCCTTCATGGGCGAAAGGTAAAAGAAGGTACACTTGTGCAAGGGACTCAAGACCTGCTACTGCCTTGTGAAGTGTGAAACAAAGATGTGACACACACGTACATTCCCCAGCTACACGTGCAAGCACAGACAATCCAACATGCACACAGCGGACACCTGCATGCACTCACGTGCACGTGTGCATGAACATACATGTGTATACACACACACACACACACACACACACACACACACACGGAGCCTGCCCACTACCACTTCTAGACATTTTTCCACCAGTATTTCCTTTTCTTTGTGTGTGTGTGTGTGGGGGGGTGTTGGACAGGGTTTCACTATGTAGTTCAAGCTGCCTCAATCTCCCTAGAGCTTCACCAGTATTTCCTCCTGGGTTAGGTCCTGAGACAGCCAATCACTGCCAGCAAGCCAGCAACCAAGCCTCTGCTGCCCTCTGGTGGCCCGTCTTGTCCCTGCAACCTGGAAGTCTTGCGCCGTACAGGCAGGAGCAGCTGCCTGGACCTGGGACTCTGGGAGCAACCCAGCTCTGTGAGTGCACTTAGCATAGGTGTGCCAATCACATGCTGCTGGTCTCAGAGCTACAACTGAGCTGTAGCTTTTGAAGCTTTTGGAGGCTTTTCTAGATTTCAAGGAATCCCAACATACAAGACAGATGACTGGAGACATTTAATTGTGGCCCTTCCTAATGTCTCTAAGGGGACCTAGTGGGAACCTAGATAAAAATGGCTGGCACACTTTAAGTGACATCCATGTTATCACTTCCAAGACCACCATGGGAAGCAGTGTCAACAGCCCTGCAGAGGGGCACATATCCAACTTTCTTTCCTTCTTTCACAGAAACTGGAAAGATGTCTTCAGAACTGCGCAGCAGTGAACAGGAGGATACCCATCCTGCACACACCAGCCTTACGTTTTTCCAGGGGATTCTTTCAGCCAGAAGATGTCGTCACTTGTAATTCCATATTCCAAGGCACCTTCGATCTATCAAGGAAAAAAGCATGAGTGTGACAAGACTGTCATCTGGTCTGTCCCAGGGACTTCTTCAAAATGCTTCTTCTTTTTTTTTTTTGGTACCAGGGATCGAACTCAGGACCTTGCACTTGTGAAGCAGGTGCGGTGCCACTGAGCTAAATCCCCGGCCCCAAAATGCCTCTTCTGCAGAAACAACTTAACCAGAGCCAACCCAGCCCACATTTGGGCAGAGGTTCTTTCCCCTACATCCTTGTCTTCAGGCTGTGGCCTCACTGGGGACAGAGGTGTCCTGTGTGTATCTACCTTGGTGTGGTGTCTGCCTGGTGCTAGAAACACCCCTGGCACATCCTGGCAAGGGCCCTCCCAGGCAGATGTGGCAGCAGCTTTCCTCTCTGCTCTTGAGGCCTTCTCCCTTTTTTTGTGGTGCTCTTCCCGAGTTGCATCCTCAACCCCCTTTTTATTTTTATTTTGAGCTAGTCTTGCTAAATTCCCCAGGTTGGCCTGAACTTGTGATCTTTCTGCCTCACCCTCCATAGTACTTGGGATTACAGGTGTGCATCTGGTAACTTTCCCTGATCTTGATGCAGATCCAGGGCACAAGCCCCGAGGCAGGCATAGCAGCTTCAGAGGCCAGACAGCTTCAGAGGCCCGTGACAGTCCAGGTACCTGGGAAGGAGCTGGGGCGATGTAGACCAAGGGAGCAGCACCCAGGGCCCAGGGCCCCAGGCTCACAAAGAAGTGAGTGGAGAGAGATCAGCAAATCAGGGATTAGGAGAGTTGTACAGCATCCCAGTGAGAGAAGCCAGCCAGAGGGGTAGGGGTAGATGAGCAGGGTGTCACACTGCAGGTTGAGGCAGGGCTGTACATGGGAAGCAGAGAGCTCTGAGGGCACCAGCCTGCAGGCTGGATGGACCCAGCACCCTTCAAAGCCATCCTGGGTGGGTTATGTACCTGGGAATCATAGATCCCTGATGAGGGGCAGCTAAGCAGGTGGGGGAAAACCTGAAGTGGAGCATCCCTCTAGTGGCCCGTGAGAGTAAGGCATACTGGTAGAAAGGAAATGTATTTCAGTTTACCATTCCAATTGGAAAAAATAAATAAAGTCAGGAATTTCTCCAGTTTGCTCAAGAAAAATCAAAAGTTGTAAAAATCAAAGGGACCAAAACACAAGCTATCCAAGCATAATGGCATATACCTGTAATCTCAGCTACTTGGGAAGCTAAGGTAGGAGAATGGCAAGTTTGGGGCCAGCCTGAGCAACGTAGCAAGACCCTGACTCGAAATTTTAAAAGAGCTAGGGGTGTAGCTCAGTGCTCCCTGGGTTCAATCCTAGTGCCAGAAAGAAAAACACAAGCAAGCCTTGGAAGGCACCCAGGGAAGACAAGGGTATGGTGGAGACAGGGTGGGTCTGCACAGGGGAGTGGAAGGGTCACTGAGCTGCCTCCTTCCAAACTAGGAGTTCTGGCTTTACTTTCCTGTACACACGTGGAGACCCCAACAGCCACCCAGCATGGTAGAACAGGTGGGGTATGTCAGGAGCCCTCTGTGGGGCCCACAGCATGGATGCAGGTACAACTCTGCCCAGTAACTCTGAGGAGCCAACGTGACCACTATGCTCTTAGGAAGCAACTGTGGCCTTCAAGGGCTCTAAGGAGAACCACTAGGAACCAGTCATTGTTAAACAATGGCACTGTGTCATTCTGTACAGCCAGGAAGCCCACTTGAGGACCCCTCTGCACAAGCAGCCTGTGTCCTTCTTGAAGCTGTGTCTGTACTTGAAGCCTGTGTCCTTCAAGTACAGGGGCTGTACTTGCTGGCCTGAGACAGAGGACAGGCCCCATAGCCCTCTGAGACTGGAGGCACTCACACTCCACTGGTCCTCTCTCCTCCCCATTTCCAGAGTAAGCACAGAAAGGAAGTGACAGTTAGGGTTAGGCCATTCAAAGCCTCCTGCCCAAGAACAGTCAGCATTTGACCCAGCTGGTAGTACTGACCCCGCTCCAGCTTGCCCAGTGCTAGAAGCCTCCCCCTGGGACCACCTGTCCAATATTTTAACTTCATAGCTGCCTGTGGTGATGGATAAGAGGTGAAGCAAAAAAAAAAAAAAAAAAACGGAAAAGCTGAGGAAAGAGTTGTCACAGGGCTTTGAAGAGCTCTAATGCATTTCTAGGAATCTAAATGGCTGGGCATGTGGATCGGGCTGTGCACACACCAGGAAAGATGAGGAGGCCCTGGGCTCATCTCTCACTGGCTTTGTTCTCTGCACAAGCAGGAAGTGAAGGCCAAGGAAGTTTAAGGAACAACCCCACACACACAAATGCACAAAGAGCCTTCGGCACAGGCTGGGAGATTTTGTAGTTCCAGGTATTTAGGGACATCCCTAGTCCTTTGCTGACCACGAAGCTTTCTAAGTAGACTTCAGTGGCCATACATAACAAAGAATAAGTATTTTTTAAAATTAGTTCAAGAAGCCAGACAATGGTGGCACATGTCTGTAATCCTAGCACTCAGGAGGCTGAGGCAGAAGGATCACCATGAGTTCAAGCCCAGCCTGGGCTACATAGTGAGTTCAAGTCAGCCTGAACTGCATAGCAAGACACTGTCTCCAAAATAAAAAAGAAACAAAGAAAGAATTCAACTCTTCAGTAAATACTCAAGAGAAATGAAAACTAAGATCACAAAGAACTTTTATACGGACATTCATAGAAGGACAGTTCCTAACAGCTAAAAAGAAGAAATAACTCAAATATTCATCACTGGAGAAATGGGTATATAAAATGTGGTATATGCACACACTGCTCGTATTTTTCAACTTTACAAAGGAAATTCTAGTTTCTCTGGTGTGAAAAACTAAAAGCATAAATGAGGTTCAAATGGTATAATGGATAATGTGAAATAGGAAGAAAAGGTCTAAACGAGTAGGGGAAGTGGGAAGGGTAGGGGAAAGGAAAGAAGGGAAAAGAAAAAATATGAGAAAAGGAAAAAAATGGAAACAAAGTCTTTGTAAATAAGAAGGGGTGGAGGTGTTGAAGGGAGGGCAGGGAAAAGGGGAAAAATTAAGAACTAAGATACATCATGTAAGGGTACAAGATCCCAAAGATGAATGTAACTGTATTTTATATCTAAAATGTACCAATAAACTTAATAAAAAAAAAAAAAAAAAGAAAGGAAATTCTGACACCTGCTACAACATAGATGAACCTTGAGGGCTTTATGCCAAGGGAAATAAGCCAGCCACACAGAGGTAAATACTGTATGATTCTACTTTTATGAGGCATCTAGAATAATCAAATTCACAGAGACAGAAAGTAGAATGTTGGTTACCAGGGACTGGGGAGGAGGACATGGGGAGCCATTGTTTAATAGATGGAAAGGATCAATTTGGGATGATCAAAAAGTTCTGGAGATTGATAGATGGATACAACTCTGTGAATTTACTAAAATCCATTGAACTGTACCCTATAAAAGGGTGAAGTTTATTTCAAATTTTTTTAAGAATTAGGGGAAGAGGGGAAAGGTAAAGAAGGCTTAAGTCTGGGCCGGGAATTTAGCTCAGTGGCACTGTGCTGCCTCACAAGCACAAGGTCCTGGGTTCGATCCCTGGTACCAAAAAAAAGAAAGAAGAAGGCTTAAGTCTTAAATGTCCCAATATTTAGAGGTTAAAGTGAAAAGGAGTCAACAATGGAGAGTTAGAAGGAGATACTATGGCCAGATGTGGTGGTATGTGCCTGCAGTCCTGGCTGCTTGGGAGGCTGAGGCAGGAAGATCTCTTGAGCCTGGGATTTGAGGGCCAGCCTAGGGAATAGAGTGAGATCTCAGATTTTTAAAAAAAGGAGGAGGAGGAGGAGGAGGAGGTTGGGGAGGAGGAAGGACTTTGGAATGAAAAGAGAATAGGCCTAATGGTGCCTAGAAGCCAGCTAAAGCGTACAATGAGAATGGTTTTGAGGACTGAACAACAGGGAGGTCAACTGGAAAGGAGAAAATGATGACGGCAAATATAGAAGAAACAACAGACTGGAGGGCTCTGGTGGAAAGTGCTGAGAGCACAGTGAGCCTAAGACCATAAATGTGCCCGGGGTGCAGAGGTGGATCCAGCTTTGGGGACACTCACATGTGTGGGGTACTTTGGCCGCCCTCCAGTAGCAATGACGATGTGTTCAGCCGAAAGCAACATCTGGAGAATAAACCAAGAAACCCACAGGTCAAAACTACACTGTGGCCACCCATCCAAAGGGCTCAAATGCCTAGAGGGGCTGCAGGGTAGCAGTTCCTGTGCTAGCCCTGCCTTCAGCTCAGAGATCCCACTGGGCAGGGATCATAGCAAGGATCTACTGGGTAAGAGGGGTACAGGTTCTAGGGACAAGAGACATTCTAACTCCAACTACTTCACAGTTTACAAGTACTCAGCAGGCCTCTCGTCACCTCAAATCCCCACACAATTCTGCAAAGAGGGTGGCACCCTCCCTGTTAGGTCATCCCAAACAGCAGGGCAGCTGATGTAATGTACATCTCACACAAGCTGGGCTTTTTTTTTTCTGCAGTGTTGGGGATTGAACTTTGGACTTCATGCATGCTAGACAAGTGCTCTACCACTGAGCTATGCGCCAGCCCTGCTCAATCACTTTAAAGAAGTTCGACCTCAAAGAAAGCTGTCTGTTCAATGCCAACAGTGCTTTCCACTACAACATCACCCAGGCTGAACAAGGCTGGAGCCAGCCACTGAGCTCTGTGGCACTGTCCAACAGAAAGAAACCGTGTAGCCATGAGCACACGGGAGGCCAGTACTCACTTCTTTCCCACCTTTTGTGATGCCACAAACTGTGTACTTGTTGACAAAGCTGGCTTTGATGTTAAAATATGTGACTTTTCTGCAAAATAATAATAAGATTTTCAAACATTTAAACATTTTCTCTGCAAATTAAATCTTAGCAACTGGATTAAAAAGGCAGCACTGTGCAGAAAAAAAGCAATATCAAGAAGTATGAGTGGAGAAAGGAGCACTTTGTCCCTCCTGCTACATTCCCAGGGAGATGGTGACCACAGGTGTTAAGAGGGGGCAGAAGTAGTTCAGTATCATGTTGGGAGCCCACACACAGGCCACAGTGGGCAATGAGAAAGGGCCAGGCCTCCCTAAGGCCAGTCCTCATCACCCTGGCAAGTCTGCAGGCAGCTAAGGTGCACACTGTGTAAGTGGCACCCTCTGTCTTCACTGAGGCCTGGAGAATAGGCGTGACAAGGCCTGCAGGGCACGACAGTGGGCAGAAATGTAAAGTGTGCAGAAATGACCCCCACTCTGTAATGATAAAGGCCATGGTGCAGCAGTGGGTTCTTCTCAGTGCTTTGGGGACAGCTTCACCTCCTTTTGCTCTTGTGTTCTCCCTCCTCCACCACAGAATCCCTCTGGGCTACAGGAAGTGCTTTTCACTCCTCTTGGCCATCAGGGAATAGCCATGTAAGAGACGCACGACATCCATGAGCACTACTCATAATAAAGCAAAGTAGAAACAGCTGAGGTCCCTGAGACCCCCTTTACAGGTGGCTATGTGGCTGACCTGGGAGTGGGCCTGCCAGGCACCTGTCTGGAAGCCCTGAGCCCACTGCCCCAGCAAACCAAACTCAGGAATGTGGAACCCCACACAGGAGGCAAGACACAAAATCTCTGCAGCACAGAGCAGCTTAGCTCCCAGGTAGGGGCCCACCTGGTGAAGCCCAGGGAGTGGGAAGGGGCCTAGCTTCCCTGGCTTGAGTGAGCACAAAACTGATGCCTGCTGTGAAGCCCCAGAAAGATCCCAGGGGACCAAGCAAAGGTGCACAGGTGAGATCCCCGACCTCTGAGGGCCACCATCTCCACACAGGCAAAGGGCAGAGCTACAGCCCAGAAGTCAAGCTGGATCTAAGGCGAGTGCCAACCCTCAAAAGAAGGTGTCAGGTAGGGGAGGCTCAGCCTCTGGCCTGAGGATCCCCAAAAAGGACAGGAATAGTAGTTCCAGGCTGGAAGGGTCACACAGGGACAGGTGCTCCAGCAGGAAACACTCAGCTCCTCCATGCACGCCTCAGATGCTGGAAGGCAAATAGTGAGGTGCGGGGTGCATGGTGTCAGAGCTGGGACTGTGGGGCTCACAATGCAGCAGTTGAGAGGAAGGAAGTATGGGTTTGTAAGATGGCACTTGAAGCTCCTCTTTGCTGCCTGACTTGGAGCTCCCCAGCTCTATTCCCATAACTGTGACAGAACAGTGACTTTCCTAGAGGAAGAACCCTGCCATAGGGCTGGCCTCTCACTGGCCCTGTCAGCCCAGGGCCCAGCCATGTCCATACACTCAGGCTTGAAGGCCGCCCCCTTTTTTGCCCAGCCTCCAGCCATTCAGCCAATATGCCCATCCTCCACTCCTGACTGCTCCTGGATTCTGCTCAATTCTTGGCCTACAGGGTGTACCCCACTTCCCACAGCAACTGCCCTGTGCACTCCTTGTCTGCATCCCCACCAGGAACAGGGACTCCCCACCCTGATTTTACAGTTGCCATGGCCCCAGAGCCTGCCAGGGCATGCTCCACACAGTCAGTCAGTAAGTGACTGTCCAAACATAAAATGACCTTGGGAAAGATAAGAGAGTGGCCTGCCCTGCCAAGGGCCACACTGTACTGCCACCAAGGCTGGCAAAGCCTCAGTACCTGTCCTGCAGCTGGACACGGTGCCCCCAGTTCAAGGACTTCACATGGTTTTGCACAGCTTCTGCCATTTTTTTCCTGTTGACACAAAAACCAAAATGGAAAAGCCACAACAGAGTGCTAGCTGTAGAGATCTATAATACACTACAGGTACAAGTAGTGTCTTTACAGAAACATTGAGAAATGGAGGTGTGTTTAAAGGGGTACAATGTGATGCCCATCCCCTTGGGCTATCACCACTCCTGACCAGGGTTTGAGGCTGTGGATCTCTGCGCTCAGGAAATGGAGGCTTTGGCCCGCAACTATTCAGACTTAGTGGCCGTGTCCACAAGGTCAGAGTTTACAGGTAGTAGCCTGTTTGCAAACTGAGCCACCTGTGCATGGGCTCTGAGCAGAGTCATATGTCATCACCTGCATCAGCCTCCTTTTCAAAAGAGCTTAATAAAGCAACTTCCTGCCCTACAACATTGTCTTTAGGCCAGATGATTGTTGGCTGGGCTATCCTATACACTGTAAGATGTTCAGCAGCATCCTTGGGCTTTACCCAGATGCAGCAAATGCTTCCCCAACCCAGTGACAACCAAAAGTGTCTCCAGATATTGCCAAATGTCAAGGGGTGCAGGTCCAGAGGATCCCCCAGTTGAGATCCCCTGTCCTACAGCTGTTCCTGGTTATAATAGAGAATAAATCTCCTCCTCTACCCAAGGGTAGCAGAAAAGAACCTGTAACCCTGGTGGCATGGGTTTCTCACCAGTCGTGCTGGATGGGCTGGGCCACCTCCCAGCCATAGTGGTGGGCATCTTGGATCATGTGCCCCAGCAGTGCAGCATAATGCATTAGCTTCTTGGGGATGCAGCCCACATTGACACAGGTGCCACCGAGGCCCCATCTGGTGCCTGGGACATTGAAAAGAACACAATTTTTCTGTTTGTTTTTTGCAGTGCTGGGGATTGAATCTGCAGCCTTACATATGTTAGGCAAGGACCCACCACTGAGCTGCACCCCAGCACTAGGAAAGCCATATTTGAATTCATATTCAGTGGAACACCGGAGGCCTCCTGTTCTCCAATCAGGTTTAGAACCCCTCATGGTGTAGGCAAGTGGTAACTCAAACATGGCCTAAGTAAGCCTGCCACAGGAATTTGCTCTCCCTAACTACAGAATCATTTTTAAAATGAGAATAAAGAACTTTAAAGTGATGACAGTTCATGCATTAAATACGATACTCGGGAGACTGGAAAGAAAGGGACGGATAACTTTGGTGTTAGTACCATCTGCATGTAAACGGGGTCCCACCTTCCCACGGCCCCTCCTCTGCATGACACAAGGTACCCACCAGGTGCTGCCTACCTCGGGGAGAAGGCTCCACATAGTCAACCACAGCCACCTTCCTTCCTAGCTGAGCAGCTGGAACAACAAGGAAAGCTACAAGTGAGGACAGAAGGGAGCTGGCTCTGTTGGGGCTAGGGAATGGGATTTCTCAGGCCTATCAGGCCAAAAAGATGGGGAAGGGCATGGGCCAGCAGCCACTTACAGTGACCAAGCCAACAGTGCTTAGTGACTTCCCATGTGCCTGGCTTCCTGGCCCACAAGGCTATGCTGGCCACTATCTCTGTACCCAGTCTCCTGGCCTCCCCACTGCCCACTCAGCTGTGCTGCTCATAAGTAGGAATTCTCAGGCCTCCTCAGATTGTAGCCTTCATACCACCTATCATGGCAGCACTGGGATCAATGCCCCTGCAGTTCCTGCCTCCACCTAGTTCCAGGCCCAGATGTTCAGCAAAGGCTCAGTGCCCATCCCAAGCATGCAGAGGGGTGTTCCAGGAACAGCCCACCCCTGAGAGAGGCCTACTGGCTTCCAGCTCACTGGGAGGCCCAGGCTCTTCCCATTGGCTGGCCTCTTCTCCTCCCCTCAGTGAGAATAAATGATGGGTGCTTCATGGAGCCTCCGCTCACAGTCCACTCTCATCAGAAGCCCCAGGTGGGCATTTGCTGCCACCCTCTCAGGGTGAGGTGTCTCATTGGTTTCAATGCTCAGGAGAAGCGAAACAGGAGGTTCAGAGTTCACCTGCCCCCTGTCCAAACTATATTCCATCATGTAGCCACCTCCCACCATGAGCAGGGCCACCCAGAGGCACAGGTCCCAAGTTCTCAGACCAATTCTAACACTATTAACCAGGGCCCAATGAAGTTTCCCTCTGGGTCCCTTTGGGCACTGTATTGGCAATCCCTAGGCTCTGGACTTGACCTCCTGCAAGGGCCTGTTTGAGCTTAAGCCTTATTGACCCCTAAGTTTTGAAACATTACAGAATGTGGAAGATTCATGGCTGTCAGAAAGCAAGACTAGAACAAAGTTGTAGAAGAGATCATCTTAAAAGCCTACTTGGGCTCAATTGATTAATGATGGGATTCCAGTGGGGTGAAGGGGCCAACACAGGAGGACCATGAATTTCAAGACAGCCTGAGCAATGTAACAAGACTTTGTCTTAAAACTTTGAAGAAAAAAAAAAAAAGAAAAAGGCTGGGGATATAGCTTAGTGGCGCTGCGCCTCCCTGGCAAATACAAGGTCCTGAGTTTGATCTCCAGTACCGAAAAAAAAAAGGATTCCCATATTCAAGCCCAGGCTGAGGATAGTTGTCAGAATTCCAGACTCTAATGCCCATGGCTGACCATGACTGAGCAAGAAAATTACCCTCTGACCTGAAAGCAAACCAAAACTTCAGACAAGGGCCAGGGATTTAGCTCAGTGGTTCCGGCACCTGCCTTGAAAGCACAAGGTCCAGAGTTCAATCCCCGGTACCAAAAAAAAAAAGTGAATTTGCCGGGGATTTAGCTCAGTGGTTTCGCCACCTGCTGCACAAACACAAGGACCGGAGTTTGATCCCCGGTACAGAAAAAAAAAAAAAAAAAAAATCCCAAAAATTCAGACAAAATACATGAAACAACATTTTGCAGTTTTTGTTTTCAGCGCTAATAGAGATTAAAACTCGGGCCTTGTACATGCTGGGCAAGTACTCTACCAGTGAGTTATATCCCCAGTCTTTTGAAAGTTTCTATTTTGAGTCAGGGTCTCGTTAAATTGCCCTTAAATTTGCAATCCTCCCACCTCAGCCTCCCAAGCAGCACACATAAGTTTATAGCACCACTATTAACAATATCCATCCTAAGTTCGATCCATGGTGCCAAAAAAACAACAAAAAAAGGCAAAACTGCCTAAATTCCGTGGCTATTTGAGCTGGGGATGTGGCTCAGCGGCGCCCCGCCTGCCTGGCAAGCGCAAGGTCCTGAGTTCAATCCCTGGGACCAAAAGCTGAAAATATTGCAAATGCCCATCTATGGATGAATAAAATGTGGTAGGATACTGCTAGGCAATACACAGGAACAAATGGCACACACCCCACAATAGGGGTCAGTCTCAAAACAATGACTCCAAGAACCCAGAAGAGCAGTACTATCAACAGCACCAGAGAAAGCAGACCAGTGGTTGCCTGGGAACATAACAGGGAGAGGAGACAGTAAGGGATTACCAAGGCTTGAGGAAAATTTGGAGGTTATTGTGGGCTAAACTATTTTACCCAGAAAAATTCATATGTTGGAGTCTTAACCCCAGTATGTCATAATGTGACTATATTTGGAGACAAGGCCTTTAAAGAAGCCATGAAGTTAAAATGAGACCACATGGGTCTCATTGATCCAACATAAATGGTATCCTATAAGAAGAGGAAATGAGGACAGACAAACAGGAAAGACCATGTAAAGTCACACGGGAAAGATGGCCAACTACAAGCCCAGGAAAGAGGCCTCAGAAGAAGCCAAGTCTGCTGACACCTTGGTCCTGGACTTTCAGCCTCCAGAACCATGAGACAATCCACGTCTGTGATTTAGGTGCTCCACCTGTGGTGCTCCCTAATGACAGCTTGTGCAGACTAACAGAGGGGTAAGGGGTATATTCCCCATCAATGGTGTGGCACTGGTTTTCCAGGTACACACATGTCACAAGTTATCCACTTATTTTTTTTTTCCTTATTTATTTTGAAACAGGACTCACTATGTTGCCCAGAATGGTCTTCTGAGTAGCTGGGACTATAGGTACATACCACCATACTCAACCTCAAGTTTTTCAATTTAAGTATGTAGTTTACTTAATATCAATTATTTTTCAATAAAGCTGTAAAAAAATACACTACAATCAGGAACAGTGGCACATGTTTCTAGTCCCAAATACTCGGGAGGCTAATATAGGATGATTACTTGAGCCCAAAAGTTCAAAGGCAGCCTGGGCAACAGAGCAAGACTTATCTGACCAGGCATGGTGGTGCACAACTATAATCCCAGAACTTAGCAGGCTGAGGCAGGACTGTCGAAAGTTTGAGCCCAGCCTGGGCTACATAGTAAGTTCAAGGCCAGCCTGAACTACAAAGCAAGACCTTGCCTCAAAAAAAAAAGACTTATCTCAAAAGAGAAAAACAACAATTGTGGCAATGCCACTCTTATGAAAGTCATATCAGACCTAGGAACTATCTGGGTTCCAAGATAAAAGCAACATTTGTCCTTAGAACTACTACACAGATGTGCCAAAAGAACATCACTGGGACATGTGGCTATTCTTCATATCTGTGCTGTTCATTTCTAGGCATGGCTCTGAGGACCCAGTGGGGTGCTGACCCTAAGTCTCTCTGTTGATGTCAATTGGCTAGGAGACATCCCCCAGTCCCTCCAAGCAAGTAGTGGACAGTGGACTTCCTTGATACCATCTGTGATTCCAAATTCAGGACTTGATGTTAGAAAGCCATGATTTCATTACTAAAGCACTTAGTCAACTCCCTCTCATTTGGGCCCTACCTCGCCTCCCTATTCACCCACACCTGCCTTTTTATCATCTTCAGGCACAGCCCAAGTAGATCACAGAGAATCCTTACACAGAGTTCTTTTTTTTTTTGGTACCAGGGATTGAGCTCAGGACCTTGCACTTTCGAGGCAGCCTTACATAGAGTTCTAAAGAAGTGCTGCAGGGTTATCAGTGAATTGCAAGGTCATGCCTCACACATGCCTCCAGATGCATGTGGATCTAGCCTGTTCATCCAACATGTCTTACTGAACACTCCTTGAGGACAGGCTGAGACTCAGATGTGACCTGCAGAACCAACTGTGGTCTCTTCCAAAGGCATAAGCACTAACAAGAACAGGAGAGCTGATGAAAAAGATTGGACAGCAGGAGGGTGGAGTTCTAAGAAGGGCTATCTTGGCAGTAAAGACTGGAGGGAGATAAGAGAATTCCACCACTGACCTGGCAGGCAGACAGACCAGACAGGGCAGGCAGCCAGGGTGAGGTGAAGGACAGAAGGAGCTCACAGAAATGTTCACAGAATAACAAGGAAGCTGGGGAGATCATGAGTGGTAGGAGCTGAGACTGGAAGTTGGGGGCAGATCCCTGAGGACTGGGGGCTTCCACTATGAGTGAAGACTGTGCTCTGACTTAAGGACTTCTGTGGCTTCCCATTAGGCCACAGTGGGGACCAGGAGAGCAAGAAGGCTGCTAGGGCAACCCTAGTAGGTCAGCTGCAGAAGGGATGCGTTCTGCTCACACACACTCAGGCCCATCCCCATAGAGCTACCCCATCCAGGAGGACCTACAAGCTTCCAGGCCCTACTATACAAGTGGGGACACACGGCACAAGATACATACCTTCCTTCGCACAAGCCAGGCCACCAGATCCCCCACCAATTACCAGGAGATCGTAGTCCTGCTGCCCTGGTGGGGAAGAGATGAGCAGTGAGAAGGAAAGGAGCCAGACCCACAAGGTCCTCTAACACCTCCAGAGGGCAAGAAGTTCTATTTGGTTAAACATGGTATAAGGATCTATTTTCTCAGGATGGGAGACCCCAGCAGAAAGTAACTCCATACATATCTACACAAATCCAAAATCCAAGCAACCTGTACCAAGGTTGGCTGCTATGCATGTGATCACCTCCTCCATTCTCCTCCCCCACACCCAGCAGGACTTCTCAGAACTTGAAACTTCACTCAGAGTTCTGAGCCAGGCACAGAACTAAAAACATTTTCCTTGAGTGCATGTTCCTTTCAGTTGTAAAGGTGACCCTTTGTTATAGTGAATAAGAATAACAGTGTAGTCCCTGCCACATGAAAGCCATGTGTCTCAGGGTGCAGGGGGCTGCACAATGAGATCTGGGAGGGAAGGGATGCTGGGCACAGACAGAACTGCCTGGGGTTTGCCTGAGGTATGGCCTTGGAGGAAGCTCATATCCTCCCTTGCTTACCCACAGTGGCACACTGGACTGCCAGAGCCCTTCTTGCCTGCAGGAGGCATCATATGTTTACTTTGCAAGCTACTCGCTTGGAAGGCAAGCAAGAACTAGCCCCAAAAGGGTGCGGTGGAGACAGGGGGTTGGAGAAATGGAGTGAAGAGGAGAGGAGAGGGGTTAAGTGCTCTGAACTGAGCATGTGGTTGGGGACACCACGCACCAAGCACCAGATTACTCCTTCATCAAGGAAAGAATGATAGGAATAATAGAATATGGTCAGTCATGGGGGATAAGGGAAGGGTGGGGACTGGTAACAAGGACCTGGGGGATAAACAAGCAGTGCCATCAGCCCCTTTGTAGACATGAGCCTGCTGAAAGTGCCATCCTCCCAGGGTACCTGGACCTGGCCACTGCTCCCAGGCAAGGCCCAGGGGTCTTGTGACAAAAGCAGGCCTGCCACCCAAGGCTGGAGCATCTTCCCCCACCAGCATCAGAGCCTAGCATCTACTGTGAGAAGGATGCACCTATCTTTGCAGTCACCTCAGTCTTCCTGGGCCTGCAAGGACACAGAGAGTATGCTGGAGTATCCATGCCCCTCAGTGTCACTGGCTGCTCAGACAGGGCCTATGAACCAAAGGAACACAGATCTAGAACCCATAAAAGGCCGATGGCTTGCAGCTGGCCTGCCTCACAGTTGGAGACCTAGCCTAAATTCTAACTAGCAGCCAGCATCTGAGATGTGTGAACATGCATACAGGACTTGATGGAGTCAAAGCCAATCCAGAGCACACCCAATTCTACATTCAATTCAAGGACTGTGAAAAGGCCTAAGATGGCTTTATGAGTCCAAAGAACCAAGGACAACTGGCAGCTGAAGAGAAGTTGCCACTGGAAGCACAAGCCTACTGGTCAAGGCCCATCTCTCTCCTTTCCTGCTGCCAGGTAGTAGGCTGGGGTCTCAAAACTTTGCCCCAACAAAGGTTCCTACCTTCCATTGCAGTTGCCTATCTTTCTTGTCACCAGAGAAGGGTTTCTACTGGGCCGTCTTGTCCTGCAGCCCTGCACTGTGCCCACTCTGCCTGTCATCAAGCAATAGGCAGGGCTGGCTGTCATGGATTGCAGGTTTATCTTGGGTCATCTGCCCTCCCCCAGGCACACCCAGAAGCCCTCTCAGTCTGATAAACCCTTGGAAGAGATCCACAGTGGAGTAGTTTGGATATATATCTACTTTTTAGCTCTTGGGAGGGTTTGGGTAGCCTGCTGTGTTGGGGGAAGATCCCTTGGGAGGGGTAGGTGCTGCTCTGCAGAAGGGCAGGGCAGCAAGTGTTACCTGGGAGAAACTCTCACATCCTTGCCCTTGCCCACTTCAGCCAGCTATACCCTCCCTGGCCACAGGGCTTCAGAATGTGTCTCTGCCTTGCCTTTGCCTTCTGACCACATTGTGCTTTAATTTTCTGCTCCTTTCTGAATCCAGTGGCTAGTATAGGGCTAGCAAACAGCAGGAACCCAATGAGTGCAGTAAAGGTTAAGAAGACTTCCTGCAAGACATGCATCCACAGGTGGGGTGGCCATCCAGGGCAGCCACCTCCAGGAGCCTTCTGTGTAGCTGTTACCCCTGCCTTGAGCTCTTGCCTGAAAATGGGTGTCAGGGGACAAGTGATGCCAGTAGTGTTGCCATTCTAGTTCCTATCTAGTGGCTGCATCATCCACTCCCAGGCTCAAAAGGGCAGGTGTCTTCCTGCTCCAAAAGAAGCTGTAAGGCTGAAGTGGACGATACTTAAAATGGGACTTGGGAGTCAACTTTGGGGGGCTGACACCTTTGTTAGCTCCTCATCACCCAGGAAAAGCTGTAGCCCTCAGGGTTTCCCTTGCTGTCAGCACTCTGTAGGCTGTGGACCAAAATCCCCAGGGTGGTCAGTTATGGGGGGGGGGGGGCTCAGCTTGTAACCACACTTGCAGCTCTTATTTATTGCCACCAGGTGGGGTGATGACTCCACTGGCACAGATGCATTTATTTGGTCTTGAGTTTTTTTCTCAGGTACATTTAATACATGTGAATGCCCCCACCCATGCAATAAGGAAATTCTGAAAGATGAGGTGCCCCGGCCAGGGTCCCAGTGCTCAGCAAGGCTACTATAAAAGCAGCCTTTGGTTCCCACCTCTTGGAGCTCTGCAGGGCTATCCTCACCACCAGGGTTCCCAAAGTGTTTGCCCATTTATATACACTGTCTGTCTGCCTTCCCCTCATAAGTCCACAGCTGGCCAAGGGCTAGCCACTTTGCTTCTCATGACCACCATCTCTATGAGTCCTGACCTGTCCTTGCTCACACACCTCCACACTCACTTTCTGCTGGGATAGTTGAGCTCTGTAACATACATCCAGGGGGCAGGGTAGGGGCTGGCTGCTCCAGGCACATGCATGGGACTGGCCACACCAAGGGATCCCACTAAGTAGGGTATGGTATGAACCTTCCTGAGTAATCTGGTGTCTGGCCTCTGCTGCTCAGAAGCCATCAAGTGTGATGTTATTAATGATTATCTTGATTCGGTCAACTGCCCTTTGTGACTCAAAGAGGCAAGTGTATCTTCTTCCCCAGGGTGCTCACACGCACTGGGTGCTTAGGTCCCCTTGATTCCCTCCCGTGGATTCATTCATTCCCTACATGTGCAAGTAATGAGCACTTGTGTACAGCTACTAGGGGTTTAGGGAGGAGGTGCCTGGGGACCTCAGGAGCTGGGACATCATCCTGGTCAGGACTACAGTTAATGCTAGGGTTAGGGGACACAAACTCCTGAAGACTGCAGGTGCAGCCAGCACAGGAGAACCTAGGACAAGAACCACCCCCAGCCTCAGTTTCCCCATCTGAGAATGAAGCTACCTGACTAGAAGCAAGTCTGATACCTACCCAAGACATCCACTTGTGCAGGGGCATCCCCACATGGGCACTCCAACCCGTTCGCGGGGACACCTCCACGTGTATACCCCGGCAGGGACATTCTCCCCAGGCCGCGCGGACCACCCCACGTGAAGAACACTCCCCAGGCTGTGCGGATACCCCCACGGGAACTCCGTCAACCCGAAACCTAGCCTACCTGCCGCACCTACCGCTGCACCCCGCAGCCCTCTCGCAGAAGCCCACGTCCGCCACCGGAAGCGCCTGCCGGGTCTCCGCAGAGGTGTCGCCACAGCTGCCAACGCCGCCATAGCTGCGGGGCCTCGGAGCGGCCGGGGCTGCCCGCCGCGCTGCCTGATCCGCCCTGGACGCGCCAGTCTGTCCCGGTCATCTGGCTAGTTGAGAGGTGAGTGCGCCGGCTGGTGGCTGCGGGTGAGGTATTCTGCATTCTGACGATGGTGAAGAGAGTCTAACCCTGGGCCCCGGATTTAGAACCCGAGGGGCATCGTCCCTGGGATCGGGAATTTGCGCCAGTGTGAAGGGATGGGACCTCGAGGCGGGCGGGGTGGGGGTGGGGGTGGGGGGTCTCCCGATGTGGGCTGGAGGATCTGACCCGGGTTGAGGAGTTCAGGACGGGAGTAGCGAATCTGGGTAGTTGTGAAGAGATCTCACCTAGAGTGGGGGGAACATCTCAGGACAAGGGCAGGTCACTGGAGGGGAGGGGATTAAAGACCTGTGCTGAGGGGCCGGGGATTTAGTTCAGTGGTTCCGTCGCCTGCCTCGCAAGCGGGAGAACCCGAGTTCGATCCCCGGTACCAAAAAAAAAAAAAAAGAGTTGTGCTGGAATGAGGGGGCTCAATACAGACCTTCTGCGGTGAGTGCCAATCCAGACCTGTAGGGTTGGCCTGCCCTTGAAGTAAGATCTGCTGAGTGTGGGACAACCAGGCCTGACCCATGGCAGGGTCCCACTTGGGTCCCGGGCTAGGATTAGAGCTAAAAAGTTTCAGGAGTCGGGGGGTGGGGGTGGGACCTGTGGTGCCCCAGGTTCAGAGGAGTTCAGTGATCTCCCCAACAGGTTTGCTTTTGGAGGCCTTGAGGTGTACCCCAGGGCCTTTTTTTTTTTATATACAAAATGGCTGCCTAATCAGGAACCGGCCCAGAATCTTCCACAATGAGTCTAGGTGTTACACAGAAACCTCACCCCTACATGAGAATGACAGAGAAGGAGGAAGTCACCCTAGTCCTCTCCTAACAGATGGCATTTGGATTTTTTCCAGCCAGCAATTTGGGGACCTGTCGCTTTTTATTGTGAAAGAAGGAACTCCATTCCTGAGGCACAATAGGAACTGACTGAATACCAGGAGTGCTCAGGGAGGAGGGCAGCAGGTCACAGAGAAACCCAGCCAGACATTGGTTAAGGTGGAAAAAACAGATTTTGGAACTACTGACAGTTGGGGAAAGAACTGAGCTCCATTCCATTTTGTGCAGAGGGACTGAGTGTTTCAGTGGAATGAGGTAGTAAGAAGTACAATAGAGTCAAGGAAATAAGCAGTTACAAAAATTAGGGAAGCAGAGTTGGTCCATGGGAAACACATCTAGGTTTGCTTCTGGGGCTTATCGAAGTCAGACTCCTATCCTCTCACAGAAGCTGGGAGTCAGGGGTCCTATCTTTAACTATTGGCTGTAATAAACAGGCAATCTCAAAAAAAGGGGGAGGGCTGGGGATTTAGCTCAGTGGTTCCGCCACCTGCCTCGACAACCACAAGGTCCAGAGTTCAATCCCCAGTACAAAAAACAGGGACTCGCCTAGCAACCATTACCGGATGTTGTGATCTTTTGGGTTTTTTTTTTTTGGTTCTGGGGATCAAACTCGGGTCCTTGTGCTTGCAAGGCAGGCAGTGGAACCACTGAGCTAAATCCCCGGCCTGTTGTGATCTTTTGACCCTGATCCAAGACTGGGCCAAATATTGCAAACACACACCCTTCCGCATAGGGAAGGCTTTATTGGGAGAGAAAGGGGCTTCTGCCAAAGTGAGACTATGGCTGAAAGGAGGTAACAATCTAGACTGTGACCAAGCTGCTGCTCCTAGAAAATAGAGAACAAATTTTTATTGCTTTGTTGAAGTGGCTGAAGTCTGATGTTTTCTATTGGCCAGGGGCATGATTCCAAAAGATATTTTTAGGGTTTTTTGTGGTGGGGGGGGGGAATCAAACTCAGGACCTTGCGCTTAGTGAGGCAGGCACAGCGCCACTGAGCTAAATACCCGGCCCTATTTTTTTGTGAGGGACTTAGATCACTGGGTGGGTAGTCACGGTAAACTTTTCCTTGAGGCTATTAAATTTTGAATATCTGGTGCTATCATCCCGAGCAAAACATCCTGGCCTTGTGGATCTGAGCCCTATGATACTGCCAAAGAACTTCAGGTATTTGGGCTTTTGTAGCTTCTAAAGTAGCACAAGAGTAGGGGCAGAAAAGGAGGCCAGGGACACATACTGGCTCCAATAGAGCAGTAGGGCAAGCTGACCCTTGTTTAAGTTTTGGACATTTTTAGATGATCAACAGTTCTACATGCAGAGCTGAGTAGGATCTGACCCAATGCTCAAGATGTAGCAAAGGAGCGACATAATATGAAGACAGAGGTCAAACTTTTATCCCATTTTAGTCACCCCTCAGATTTCTGTAGGCTCAAATGAAGAGTGTTTTTCACAGTAGTAGTCTTCAGGTCTCTGGGAAGTAATCCAGATCTGTTGTCATAACCCACACATCAAGGGTACCGTCTACAAGAAGCTAATGTATTTCCCAATTGTGTGACCTCCAAAAATATTGATTTTAAATTGACTAAGAGCAATTCCTCCTCCTCCTCCTTCTCCCCTTCCCCTTGCCTCTTACCCCATCTTCTTTTTCTTCTTATTATTCCTTTTTTAATCAGTAACTGGGTTTTGAGCCCAGATCCTTTTTTTTTTTTTGGTACCCGGATAGAACTCGGGTCCTTGCACTTTCGAGGCAGGCTGCGGAACCACCGAGCTAAATCTCCAGCCCTGAGCCCAGGACCTTCATATGAAACTACATTCCAGCCATTTTTAAATATTTCACTTTGAGTCAGGGTCTCACTAAGTCATTAAATTGCCCAAGCTGGGCTCAAATTTCCAATCCAGCTGCCTCAGTCTCCCAAAGTGCTAGGATTACAGGTGTGTACCACCACACCCACTTTGCCTTTGACTTCTTGTGCATCTGCTCATGGTAGGCGGATGTTGGGATTTGTATAGACTCTTACTGAGCCTTGCCCTCCACCATGCTGGAGACGTGGGGTGATCACTCATTTTACAGGGGAGGAAGCAGCCTTGGAGCCAAGTCCCATGGTCCTTTCCCTAAGGCTGAGCTTGTAGCTCCCCTGCCTCCCAGAACTGCCTCTGAGCTTCCTCTCTCAGCCTCTGTCTACAGACAGTTTAGTCCTCCAGCACTGAGGAGACACTGCTCATGGAACTAGCAAGTGAGGGCAAAGGCAGCTGGGAAAGTACAGCATAGTCCCTGGCAAAACCCACATCCAGATCAAGGACTGTGGCACTGGAAAAGGCAGCAGTGGCCTGCCTGGCAACAGCATATACAGAAAAAGTGCAAGTGCTGTTGGCATGCACAGCATCTCAACTCGATTCTTGGAGTGCCTTCCTTTTGAAGACAGTGACCAAAAGGTAGGATATAGCAGAGGAGCCCAGAGGTTGCCCTGGGGGAGGTGGCTGCCACACAGACAAGCCTAATGCCTCTGGGGGTCTTTGGTGGGCCTGGAGCACAGGAAGACTATCCTGAGCACCCCTTGGGCCTGGGAAAACACAGACTTGCAGGAGCAGTGACTTAGGCTCCCTGAACCCACCACCCCAGGAAGTTCCACATAGTGTGTTTGTCTTGATCATTCTACATCTGCATAATAAGAAAAAGGCCATGATGTGACCATAAGGTGCCATCTGCAGCTGTGGGTTGTCTTCCTGGGCCCCCCAATGGGTAACCAAAATCCTTTGGAATGTCCTCAAAAGTGTTGCTGCTCCATTTCCTGACTCTGGAGCTACTAGAGCTGTTGGGCATATCTTTGAGCTACAAAGGATCAGGGTCCAGTAGAGTCCCTTACCCCACCCTGTTCAGGTGCAGAAGAGGGCAGACCTTGGTAAAGTTTGACTATGTCAGCCTGGATGTAGCAAAACACTTTACCACAAAGGTTTGCAGAACATCAGCCATGAGTGTCAGTGACCCATCCAAACCTCCTAACCTGAGGGTGGCTGGGGCCTCCACCCAAGGCCCCCCCCCCTTTTTTTGGTACCGGGTATCAAACTTGGGACCTTGCACTTGCGAGGCAGGCGCCAGAAACACTGAGCTAAATCCCCGACCCTTTTTTTTTTAGATGGAGTCTCACTGTGTTGCTCAGGCTGGCCTTTAACTTCTAGGCTCAGATGATCCTTTTGGCTCAGCCTCCCAAGTAGCTGGGACTATAAACATATGCCACCACCCTCTGCTAACTGCCAGGCTTTTTTTTTTTTGAGACAGGTATATGCCACCATGCCTACTCCTGGCCCACTGCTAGGCATTTTGATTGCCTTTTTTAGGTCTTGAGGAGGACAAATGGTGAGGGGAGACAATGGAGGTCACAGTTCGGAGTTTGGTCTTGGAGAGAGACCACTTCAGTGGGCTTATAACAAGGAAGGGGGTGGAACTGGGATGCTCTTGTAGCCCTTTGCCCAGATCTGTGTACCATCTGTGCAGAAATGGCTGTGACCCATCCCTTCTTGCCGCAGGATGCACATACCAAAGGGTCGTGGTAAGGAAGAGCTTGGGGTGGGCAGATTCTGCTATGATAAAGACAGCTGCTTCCCCTGCTGAGGAAGGGAGGTGGGCATCCCTCCAAGGGGCACACTGCACCAGTGGGTACAGGTTGGGTGGGCAACAGCTGGCAGACAGCTTAGCAGAGAGAGGCACCCTGAGTGCCTGGGTTCCCTAGGGAACTGGAAACTGCAGTGGTTTTCTGAGTCCTGCTTCCTTATCAGGAATGGCATGTCCTTTTTTCCTGTTTGGAAAAAAAGAGAAGGCCAGTGTAGAGTTTGTTTTTAGAATTTTTGTTCCACCACTTTTTTTTCTTTTCTTTTCTTCCTTTTCTGCTGTGCTGGGAATGAACCCAGGACCTTCCCCATGTGAGGCAAGTCCTCTACTCATTTGTTTTGTTTGTAATTGTTTTAAAATATACAGAACTTATAATTTATCATTTCTAAGTGTACAACTCATTGGAATGTTAAGCCAAGACTCCCCAAGAGAACTGTAAAAAAAAAAGGGATTAAAAAAAAAAAAAAAAAAAGGGCTTATTGAACCATTGCAGATGCTAGCCAGGAAAAAGAAGTCCAAGACTTGGGACAAATTCTCCCAACTCCCAGCACCAGGGCCACGTAACAGTTAGGAAATGTCCACTAGACAAGAGCTTTCTTCATAAACTTTGGGGAGGAGCCAGGTGTGGTAGTATACACTGTAATCCCAGCACTGTGGGAGGCCAAGACAGGAGAATTACCAGTTCAAGTCCAGCCTGGGCAACTTTGTGAGACCCTGCCTCACAAAATAAAATAGCTCAGTGTGAAAGCCTTGGATTCAATCCCCAATTACCCCCACCCCAGTAACCTTTGGGGAAGAAAGCACTGTAACCTACATTGGTCATAGATAGGAAAGGTGGGATAATTTAAAGTAGGCAAACTCCAGGTATAGATAGTCTATAAGGAGAAGTGCTTACTGCTTCTGGATTGGTTGGGGTTAAAAGTGCACTGCTGATCACCAATGATGGGGTTTAAGTCAAGGTTTCAACATTCAGGGATTTCTTTTGTGGGGGGAGGGTACTGGGGCTTAGATTTCAAGGTGTCACAAATGCTAAACACAGGCTCTACCTGAGCCACACCCTCAGCCCAGGTTTCCACATACAGGGTCTTTTTGTTGATTTTGTTAGCAGCGAGCTGTTAATGGTTAACTATCTTTTTCTCTCCTCTACACTCTGATCTTTGTAAATAAATTAGGACAAAATTCTCAGAATTTTTCTTTTGTCAGTCATCAGACATTTACCATGTTATGTAACCTTTACCACAATTTACAAAATGTTTTCTTCATCCCAAACAGAAACTCTGAACCCATTAAGCAATAATTCCCCTACCCTCCCTTCAGCCTCCGGTAACCTCTAATCTCTGTCTCTATGGATTTGCCTTTGGAGGCATTCCATGAACATGAAATCTAGCAGTGTTTGTCCTTCTGTATCTGGTTTATCTCACTGATATAATATCTTGAGGTTCATCGTGTCACTGTAACTGCAGACTTACAGTACACGGTGTGGCAGCTCTTAGTGGTATAGGAAGATCAAGGCAAGAATCGAGAACGCACCCGGAGATTGGAGGCAAGTTTATTATGCCAGCAGACTGATTGGGGATTTCTCCACAAAACCATCAGCCGGGAGGTGGCAGTGAACAGGGTTTATATGGGTTAAGGGAAGGTGGGGTAGGGATACAGAAGCAAGCCATTTATCATCAGTTCATTGGTTAAGGAAGTTACATTTAGTTTACATGATTTGATAGAAAAGTATACTGGATACAGACACTTCCTGAGAACAAAAGAAAATGAAGGAGGACATGTGTTAGGTGTGGGAGGAGGGATGAGCTGGGGGTGGCTTTGTCAGTTAGGTTAGTTAGCCACAGAAACCCCCCCCCCCTTTTTTTTTTTTGGCTCTGAAATCATTTTCTGGCTCATCACAACACGAGTAACAGTAATGTCACCCTTCACCTCTGGGCTATTGTGAATAATGTGCTGGGAGCATGAGTGAACAAGTGTCAGGTTGAGTCCCTGTTTTCAGTTCTCCTGGGTGCGCATCTGGATGTGGAATTGCTGTGTCATATGGTAAATCTTTATTTGATTTTTCTGAGGAATTATTAAACTGTTTTCCACCAGCATTCCCACCAGCAGTGCACAAGGACTCCAATTTCCCACATCCTTGCCAACACTTGTTATTTTCCTTTGGGAGTGAAAAAAAGGCCATTTTAAGCTGGCATGGTGGTGCATACCTATAATCCCAAGTGCTCTGGGAGACTGAGGCAGAAGGATCACCTGGGTAACTTATAAAGACCCTGTTTCAAAATTTTAAAAATATATAAAAATGGGCTGGGTATGTAGTATAGTGTGGCAGCCTCAGTTTAATCCCTAGTACTGGGGGAAAAAAGCTGTTTTGATGAGTGCAAAACTGTGTCTTTGGTGTGGGTGTTTATTTTGTTTCATTTTTGTGGTGCTTGGGATTTCACATGATAAGCCCTGAATCCCATTTTAAAATTGAGTTATTTTTCTTTTTTGTTAAATTGTAGGAGTTCTTTATATACTCTGGATATTTGGTGGGGGGTGGAGGCAGGGTCTCCCTTTGTAGTTCAGGCTGGCCCTGAACTTACTATGTAGCCCAGGCTGGTCTTGAGCTCTCAGCACTCCTCCTGCCTCAGCCTGCCGAGTGGTGAGATTGCAGGCTATATATTCTGGATATTGAACCCTCATCAGATTTGATTTGCAAATATTTTGTCCCATTGTGTGGGTTACACTTTCCCCTCTCTTGATAGTGTCCTTAGATGTACAAGTTTTTAATTTTAATGAAGTTCAACTTATTTTTCTTTGATGCCTATATTTTACCAAATCCAAGATCATTTACTTTTACTTTTATATTTTCTTTCAAGCTTTACAGGTTTGTTGGGGTTTTTTTGGGGTTTTTTTTGGTACTGGGGATTGAATTTGTGACCTTGTGCTTGTGAGGCAGGCAGCAGAACCACAGAGCTAAATCCTTGGCCCCTGTTTTTTTGTTTTCAAATAGTCTCACTATGTAGTTCAGGCCACCCTTGAACTATGTGGCCCAGGGGACCACAAACTTGCAGCAATCTTCCTGTTTTAGCCTCCTGAGTGGTGGAATTATAGGCATGTGCTACCATACTTGGCAATTCTAGCTCTTAATCTAGGTCTTAGTCTAGGTCTTTGATCCATTTTGAGGGGTCTTATTGTTGTTTTTAGAATTTTTTGTATATAGTGTAACTTCATTCTTTTGCATGTAGATATCCCGTTGCTCTAACCACCATTTATTGAAATGATTTCTTTTTCACTGAGTGTCTTGGCACCCTTGTCAAAAATCATTTGACCATAGACATGAAGGTTTATTTCTAGGCTCTCAGTTCCATTCCTCTGGTTTTTATAACTGTCTTAATGCCAGTACCACACTGTTTTAATTACTGTAGCTTTGTTGTGAGTTTTCAATAAAAAAGTGTTAGTCCTCCAACCTTTTAAAATTTTTATTAGTACATATTCACAGTAAATAGCAATTAAATTCATCATGGGGAGTTGGTATAAGTACATAACACATTTTAATTGTTTTTATGTCCCCCCCCCCTTGGTCCCCTTCCTATTTGCAAAAGATCCATCTTCCTGTCTCCTATTACCTGTATTTATTTTGCTTTTTTATATATTTATACTTTGGGTTTCTCATATGAGAGAAACCATGTGATATTTAAGCTTGTGTTTATTTCACTTAGTCCTCCAACTTTGTTCTTCTTTTTCAAGATTGGCTATTCAGAGTCCCTTGAGATTCTGTGGAGTTTTATTTTATTTTATTTATTTATTTTTTAGACAGGATTTTGCTATGTAGTTAAGGCTGCTCTTGAACTCATTACATAGCCCAAGCTGGCCTTGAACTCGTAGTGATCCTCCTTCCTCAGCCTCCCAAGTACTGAGATTATAGGTGTGTGCCTATGGGTCTGACTGCGTAGGATTATTTAGGATGGTTTCTCTTATTTCTGCAAAAAATGCCCTTGGGATTTTTCATTGAGATTGCATTAAATTAGAAGATTCTTCTGGGTGGTGCTGTCATCTTAACAATATGAAGTTTTCTATTTCATTTGTTGGTATCTTCCTTAATGTTTCATGCAGTCATGATCAGCATGTAAAGGTGTAATCTGTGGTGGCCCCTGTCATGGCCCAGCCCCCTGGCCCATGCCCAGAGCTCCTGAGCAGTTAATCCCAATAGTGACCCCATTGTGGGCCCAAAGTTGTGGCTGGAGGGGACTCAAAACAAGAGAAACTGCCCTTATTGCTTTATTGTCTTCTACCACCATGAACTGTTGCCCCTCTGCCTCCCTGCCTCAGAGCCAGCCAATTATGGACTGAAACCTCTTCGAACTGTAAGCCTAATAAACCTTTCCCCCTTTAAAAAACAAAAACCAAGAGGAACTGTCCAGTTTCTCCATGGAGGTTACAAGGGCAGAAATCCAAGGAGAGGAGCATCTGCACAGTTCTGATGGTTCCTTTCACCAGTTTCCATGTGGTTTTCTTTAGGCTCTGTTTTTAGGACCCCCCCACACCAGTTCCCTCACTCGCAATTTCTTTTGTTCTGCCAAACTCTAGGCACTGGCTGGGCAGTGTCTGTCCAGGGATGGCCCCTATCCCTTCTTGTCCCCACAACTGGGCAAAACAGAGGAGGACTGTCCAGGAGCATTGGGACCCTGCACTCAGGGAGGCCCCTCAAGGAGGGGGGGCAAGGCCTTCATTCAGGAGGCAGTGTGGGCAGTGCTCTCTGCTACCAAAAAAAAAGAAAAGAAAAAAGGAGAACAGGGCTTTGGCTGCCCCAGCCTGCAGATGTGGCTCTTCTCTGCTCCCTTCCACCAGACCCTGAAAGACTTGGTCGCTGCACATTTATGAACAGTTAGACCCTAGCAATTAAAGTCAAATTCTTACACAAATCAATTGTTATAGGGATTGAAATTTACACTTGAGAATTCTAGGGTCCATCAAGCAGTTTGCTATTTAAGCATAATAGCCCTTTTTACTTTTGATATTTATTTCTAACAGTTCCTAGATTTTTGTTTTGTGGTACTGGGAATTGAACTCAGGGTTTCGGGGATATTAGCAAGTGCTCTACCACTGAGCTACACCCTAGTCCTTCCTTTTGTGTGGTCCTGGGGATTGAACGAAGGGCCTTTGCCCTGAATTATATCCCAAGCTTTTTTTTTGTACCAGGGATCGAACTCAGGACCTTGCACTTGCAAAGCAGGCAGCGGAACCACTGAGCTAAATCCCCGGCCCGGATCCCAAGCTTTTTGTTTTTGTTTTCACTTTTAATTTTGAGACAGGGTCTCAGTAAGATGTCAGGTGAGACTCAATTTTGCAATCCTCCTGCCTCAGTTTCCCAGAGTGCTGGGTTTATAGGCACATGCCACCATGCCTGCCTCCATGCCTGACCTCCTTCTTTGTTTTTTTTAATACAGAAAGCAAAAGAAAATTGTCCATTATCTCACCACTCAAATACTATTCCTAATAATAATAAATAGATTGAAATAATGGATAATAGATAAATAAAGCAACACACATTTGTGTTAGGAAATCCCTATCCATGAAGAAAAGAGCAAAATGGAAAAGTCCTCCCTCTGTGTTACCTCTCCCTGATCTTCCTCCCAGCAGAGACTGTTTTACCTCCCCTGCCATCTCCTCTAATGCCTCATACACATGGCAGTCCTGCCCTGCAGGAGTCATGGTGCTCTACCTGCCACTATGCAGGACCTAGAACTCCTAGCAGCTAGACACCAGGCTTTCTAGGAAGATGGCATGGTTCTCCCTCCTGCAGGTGTGGGCAGGGCCCATCACAGGCAGGGACACCTCACACTGTCTAAGACCTGCATCCGGTTCTCTTGGCTGCCTGGGCTGTAGCCTTTTGGCCTTTTCCCATAAGCTGCACATTGGCCATGGTGGCCCATTGTTCCCTTTGATTATCTCTCTCATTGTTTTGTTTTTGTTTTTTTGGTACTGGGGATTGAACTCGGGACCTTGTGCTTGCGAGGCAGGCAGCAGCACCACTCAGCTAAATCCCCAGCCCTCTTACTGATTTTTATGTGCTCTTTGTAACTAGCCCTTGGTCTTCTATGTCACTGTCAAGTTTATCAGTGGCTCTCCTGAGCAAAGTGGTTCCTTTCTTTTGCTTTGCTTTGTGTGGCACAGATGCCACTATAATCCACAGGCCAATGCAGACATGAAGACTAGAGACTGTTCCCTGTGTCCCTAGTTGGGAATCACTCCAGATGATGTCCCACAACCTCTCTGAGACCTCCTGTGGTCTCTTCTGAGGCTGAAGAGGTGACTCACTGCCTTTGCCCCATCAGAGAAGACCAAACAAGGCTGGCCTCTGGGAAGGGGCTCAGATAGCTGGACCCTGGTCATTTCCAGATTATGGTTTATATTATTGATTATCCAAAGGTAAAATTGAACTCCGCACAAATTCTTTCCACTTGGGTGCTGGGCTTGGACAAGTAGAGTCTAGAGCTTTCTTGACGCCAAAGGATAGGAGCCAGACTAGGAAGCAGCTCCAGATCAGTCAGCCAATGATGCCAGCAGGCAGAGCAGTGTGTGAGCACGTGTGCACCGACCTGCTGATTATGCATCTACTCTGCCTTGTGTAAGTAGGCCACAAGGCCTAGGCTCCCCAGAAGTCTGGGTGCCCACACTGCCCCCTACTTGGGAAGAGCCTTCACTCTCCTGTTTATCTTCTGCTTTGACTCTTGAGTGTCTTCCCTCCCCCAACCACCATGAGGCTGGGAGTCCTGAGACTGCCCTCAAACAGTCTCCCTGGAGAACAGGATCTCGAGTGACCACAGAGCCCCAAGTTCCTCCTATGTCCTTTTCCATTTCAGAGTCTAGCCTGCATCATGGGTTTCTGCTTTGAACATTGTGAACTCTGCTTCCTGCTAGCTGGAGTCTCCTGGCTTACATCTGACTGGGTCCTGGCCACTCACACTGAGTGGGTTTTTTGTTGTTTTGGTTTTTGCTGTTTTTATTGTTGCGGAACCATCCAGGGCCTCATATATTGCTAAGCAAGTGCTGCTATATCCTAGCTCTTATGTATGGATTTAGAGGGTCTGTGGGCCAAAGCTATCTCCTACCTCAGCTAGGGCAGAGGACCCCCCCATACTTTCCCTGAAGGCTCTTTGCTTATAGGAACCCAAGTAATGCAGGGCTGAATGACAAGAGAATAGCTGGGTATGGTGGCACAGGCCTCTACAGGGAGGCTGAGGCAGAAGGATCAAAAGTTCAAGCCCACCCTGGGCAACTTAGTGACTTAGCAAGACCCCATTTCAAAATCTAAAGTAAAAAGGGGCTGGGAGTGTAGCTCAGTATAAAGGTCCTGGGTTCAATCCCCAGTACCAGAAAAAAAATGCAAGTGTTATTAATTTTATATGCACAATCATAAGCGCTGAAGAAATGGCCAAAGCAAGATGTGTTACAAAGAACAGTAATTTTGTAAGGACTAAGACAAATCTTTGGACTAGGGCAGTAGATTCTAGGAATATCACTTAGAGATATATTGGGTGGGGGTGAAGCTAGTGAAGATAAATAAATAAATTTCAAATTTATTTATTCAAGTTCATCGTAGCCTGAGTGCCTGGATCTCTGATGATTAAGACCTTTTTCTGCCTTGGTACTAGGAGAACACCATTCTCAAATCTTTCTACCCTGCTGTGGGTAGGAAAAGACCGCATGGCCTGCCTGCGCTCACTTCCTCTTCCAGTTTAAGTAACCCTATGCCAATTCAGCACATTCTGATGGCCTGACCTTAACTCTATCACTGGGAAAGCACCAGGGAAGGGAGTTGTGCTCTTCAGTGCACAACCACCAGTGGTATGCATACGCCTGCTCTGTCCACTCACAGGGGCTAGAGGGCATGGGGAGGCAGGCTCACCTGGTTCTGACCCAGTCAGGAATCCGAGGCATGCAGCTGACTTCTCTGAACCTTGGCCCTCCATGAGCACAGGGAGGTATTGACAGTACCACCAAACTGAGGACAGGGTGAGTTAAGTCAGAAAGGGTCTAGAATACTTAAGCCTCTCTCATTCTACCCTTCCCCTCCCCTTCTACAAACTCTCTTTTACCCTACTCACCTTGTTTCTCTTGCTCTATGCGCCACCCGTCCTGTAGATGCTGGAGGCCTCACCTCTGCTGTTGGTAGCTGCCTCATTGGGCATTGTGCTGTTGGCCTTCCTGCTGATATTAAGACACTGGGGCTGGGCCGTGTTACTCATATATTGGTATGAGTTCATTCTGCAGCCAGTCAAACATCTGATTATGGGAGACACTAAGGAACAGCGTATCCTGCGCCATGTGCAAGAGCATGCAAAGCCTGGGGACCCCCAGAGCGTGCTGGAAGCCATTGATGATTATTGCTCCCACAAGGAGTGGGCCATGAACGTGGGCAACAAGAAAGGTGAGTGGCCTGGCCAGTGGACACCGAAACAGGGACCTGGGGCAGAGCAGGGCAGCATAGACCTTACAAAAGAGTGCTGTTACGGGGTGGGGGGCAGTTGGGAAGCTTGGGACTTGCTGAGGTGGGAGTGCCGGGCTCCTCAGGAGCTTGAGGCACAGGCCAGGCAAAGACTGTCCAGAGACCTGGGTACCCATTGCTGAACTCTGCCCAGACTGCTGTCCTAGAGGGGAAAGAGGAAGATTTGACAAAATGTACTTTGTACATTTTGTGAACATCTCTGTGGACACTGGTCTCTCATGACTCCTCAAGACCCTTCCACAAGGGCTCCATGTAGACCCCACACTCACTGGGTATGAGGGTGGTATAGTTTCCCTTGACTTCTGCCTCGGTGTCATGGGACCTGGGCGGGAACCAGTTAGGCAGGTTCTCCTGGGCCTGCCCCCGGCCTTGAATTCTGCCCTGGGCATAAGTGTGTGCTCTGCTGTACCCCCACCCTAGGCTTGGCTCCTGGGGGCAGCCCCTTTTCAGTCCTCTTGGAGCCCATAACATTGAGGGTGTCAGCAAGAGTAGAAAAGAGAGGGCTCAGATTTAGCTCAGCAGCACCATGCCTGCCTCGCAAGCACAAGGTCCTGAGTTCAATCCCTGGCACCAGAAAAAAAAAAAGTAGAAAAGAGAGAAGGACTGGTGTGTACAAAGGCATGGAAGCCAAGGGGAGCTCCATGGTGTGTGCAGTGGGGACCAGGTCCTTGAGCTGGGGGGTTTGGAGAAGGTAAAAGACCCTCCTCAGCCAGGCATGGTGGCCCATGCCTGTAATCCCAGCACTCAGGAGGCTGAGGCAGGAGGATCACTAGAATCATTAGAGGTCAAGGCCAGCCTAGGCTATTATAGTGAGTTCAGGGCCAGCCTGAACTACAAAGGGAGACCCTGCCTCAAAAAACCAAAAACCAGACAAACAAAAAGTCAGCCTGAAGTACATATTGAAACACTGTCTCAAAAAAACAAAGAAAAAAAGAGAGAGACCCTCTTCAGCAATGGATAAGGAGGACGAGGAGGAAAGAGGGGTTGTTGGTTGATGCAGAAAGGGTGAAGCTGCTGAGTTCCCCTCTGTCCACCGGTGCTCACGTCCCAAACACCCCACAGGTGAGATCATGGATGGTGTGATTCGGGAGCTTGGCCCCTCCCTAGTGCTGGAACTGGGGGCCTACTGTGGCTACTCAGCTGTGCGCATAGCCCGCCTGCTGCCACCTGGTGGGCGGTTGTTCACTATGGAGATCAACCCCAACTTTACTGTCATCACCCAGCAGATGCTGGACTTCGCGGGCCTGCAGGACAAGGTGTGGTATGCCTGAGCCAGGTGACAGATGTGAACACTGAGGCTCAGAGGGTCCTAGGCAGGCAGGTGGGGAAGACCCAGGTCACACCTGAACTCAGTTCAAAAACTGAGCATCCAGCCAGGCGAAGCTGTACACTCTGGGAGACTGAGGCAGGAGGATTTAAGTTTGAGCCCAACCTGGGCAACTTAAATTAACCTGACCTCATCTCAAAATAGAAATTAAGGCAGCCTGCCTCACAAGCACAAGGTCCCAAGTTCAATTCCCGGTACCAAAAAAAAAAAGAAATTAAGAAGGGATGGGGATATAGCTAAGTATGAAGGTCCTAGGTCCAGTCCCCAGTACTGCAAAAAAGAAAACCAACAATAAAACCCCAAAATAAAACACTGAGTATCAACTCTAGCCAGGCCCCTTGGTGCTTAAGGTTAAGGAAAGAACCACCAGTACTTCTGGGAGGGTGGTCTCACTGCCCCCTGAGGGAAGGAGCAGAGTGCAGACTTGTCTCCCCACAGCCTCAGAATAAACTGTTGGGGGAGTGTATATGTGGGTGTCCAGGCAGGGGCTCTTGTGTCCCTGTTGGGATGGTGCTAACAGCACACTCTTCCAGGTCACTGTCCTGCTTGGGGCGTCCCAGGACCTTATCCCCCAGCTGAAGAAGAAGTATGATGTGGACACGCTGGACATGGTCTTCCTCGACCACTGGAAAGACCGCTACTTGCCAGACACCCATCTCCTGAAGGTGAGCCACACCTGCCTCATTCCTCTAGAGCCTATTTTGATCTAAACCATAATAGCCGTGGAGGCCCTGGGTAGAAATGGGAGAGTTTGGGGGAGGGGTGTGGTCAGGGGCCAGGTAGCACGACCTGTTCAGAATTTGAGTGCAAGATGCTACCATGTGGTGGGGTGAGCAGCATGAAGCAGAATGCCTGGACCATGAGGCTAGAGGGCCAAGGAGTCAGAGCAGCTCCAGAGCCACGAAGAGCTCCAGACTGGGCCCCAGCTGGTGCTGGCGCAGTCAAAGAGTTGTGTCCTGGATTTTTCTCCTGAGGCTTTTGCTGTATAGCCCTTTAGCCCCTCACACTCCTCCCATTCCTCAGCGCTGCTGCTCACCCTACCTCACCTGGCCAAGACCCCAGCAGTGACTGGGAGGCATCCTCACTCCCTAAATGGCTAGGGCTTGGGGCATTGGGAAGCCCCTTATGGACTGACAATTAATGAGTGGCATTAGGGACACACTAGCTGATCCCTTCCTGGTGGCCAAAAGGGGACATTGAGCAGCTCATCTCTCTGGTGTCATCACCCACAGCTGTCACAGGAGTTGGACACCTGTGTGCAGCAAGACCCTGAATGTGAATGGCTCAGCCATGGCAGGGCAGTGCCACTGTGGGCAGGACACGGACAAGAAACCAGCACAGGCAGAGGCCTGGTGGGTGTGAAAGGCACAGAATGTCCTGGCAACAGAGAGAGTTGGGGCATGGAGGGCTTTGAGCAGGTGAGGGTGGGGTGAGCAGTTTTCTAGAAGGATTTTGGTTGTTCTGGTAGAATAAGATGGGTGACTGGTGAAGGTGAATCAGGGGACCCAGCCCCACCCCCTGCTTTTTTTGAGCCAAGGTCTTTTCTTTTTTTTTCCATTAAGTTTATTGGTACATTTTAGGTATAAAATACAGTTACATTCATCTTTGGAATCTTGTGCCTTTACATGAGTATCTTGGTTCTAATTTTTTCCCCTTCCCCTGCCCTCCCTGAGACAAGGTCTTGCTGTGTAGTTCAGGCTGGCCTTGAATTCACATAACCCAGGCTAGCCTCAAACTTGCAGCGATCCTCCTGCCTCAGCTTCCTGAGTGCAGGAATTATAGGTGTGCACTACTACACACAACCCTAGACTCATTTTACAGGTATGAGCCCTAATACTCAAAAGAGGGGAGTCTGGGGCTAGAAGCTAGACCAGAGAATCTGCTTTGGCCAAGGGGACAGGCAGGGTGAGGGAGTAGGGTAGAAAGAAGACCTGTAGGCCAGGACAAGACAGTCATGGGGATTTCTCTTGGGCAGAGGGAGGCCCACACTAACAAGGGGGTATGAACCTGGAAATTGGGTACTGAAGGCAGAGAAGAGACAGCTGCACTTGGATGGAGGGTTGGTGTCACAGGAGTGGATTTCAGCAGCTTTCATTGCATCTGATAATTATAGGGGCCTGGTTTTAGAAAAGTAGCAAATATTGCAGTTCAGTAACTAGGAAACTAATAGTTTTCTCAGCGCTGGTTCAAAACTGGTAATTATCTCAAAAGAAGAGAAGGCATGAATTGGAAATAGCTGTACTTTTAAAACTGGAAATGGCTGTATATTTAAAATGTGCTCTGCAGACCCGAAGCTGGGGCTCACTACCCCATGGCTTGTACAGGCCAGCCTGGCACTGTGGAGACCCAGCCATCCACTCCATTAGTCAGCTCTGCGATCATCAAAGGAGTAGGTTAAGAGGCTTAGGGACAGGTGGCAATTCAGAATTGGATGGCTACTTCGGGAGGCCATAGGCCCTGTTACACAGGTGTCTTCACAGGGTTGCTTGAGAATCTTCACAGCATGGTGGATGGGCAGGAGTGGATAGAAGAAGCCTTAGTGCCTTTTTATGACCTAATACTATCACTTCTGCCTTATTCTGTTAGCATTACCAAGTCTAGCCCTTGTCCAAGAGGAGAAGAATGAGCCTCCACGTGTGAAGGGAAGAGTCTCCAGCATGGTGGACAGTTTGAAACCACTCAGCCTGCAAGGCTGTGTTCCCTCCCACACCACTGTCTCTGTGCTGTATGACAGCCATGGGCTTGCTCAGACACCAGTGTACTTTCGGCCAGTATTCTCCAGGTGGCCCCAGTGGTCCCTCAGGAGGCTCAGGTGATCTGAAGACAAGCAGGACAGGAGCTGCCTTCTTCCCTTTCAGATGAGTTTCCTAAGGAACAGTGGGCCCCTAGCACCCTGCAAAGGTGACCAACATTTCTTTCTGCCATGATGAACTAATGGATTTTTTTTTTTTTTGGCACCAGGGATCGAACTCAGGACCTTGTGCTTTTGAGGCAGGCAAGGTGCCACTGAGCTGAATCTCTGGCCCAAAACTAATGGAATTTTAGGGTCAGTAGTCTTACTGATAGGCAAATTGTGCCTCCTGAAGCTGGATCCCTAGTCCCTGGCTGACCTTAAGAGTTGGGGACCCAAACACCCTCCTCACATTGTACATTTCCTGCTCCAGACCTAGAGGGAGCCCCACCTCAGGTTCTGGGAATCTGTGCCCTCATGCTGAGCAGGTCTTTACGTCTTTTCAGCCAATATTTTCAGCTTTTCTTAAGAGAAAATAATATATTTTGGTTTATAGTGGTACTTCCTGTTCAAATTCTGGAACATGAGATTGTCCTTTGACCTCAGAGCTTCATTTTCCACAGGGCCCCTGCAGATTCCTTAGCTTTCTCCTAAAGCTCACTGACTGGAAATGACTCCCCCCCTACCCCCAGACAGAACACTGTGTGACTGTTTAAGAGTAGGGCACACCCTTGAAGGGCTAAGAGTTAAATGCCAGTGCTTTTAAGATACCTGCTGCCCATGATTTGAGACACCTAGGTCAGATTCTTTTTTTTTTTTTCAGTGTTGGGGATGGAACCCAGGGACTTATACATGCTAGGCAAGTGCTCTATCACTGAGCTACATCCCCAGATCACTTGTCTGATTTTGCTTTTGATGTTTGAGATTACTTTCTTTAACTTTTATGATGGAGGGGCACCTCCAAAGTCAACTCCATTCCAAGACGGCATCCCTTGCTCCAGCTGCCCCTCCCCCACCAGGACACGTTTCCTCTCAATGTTCCTCTACTATTTTTTTTGTGATGTAAGAAGATCCACCTCCCAGCTTAGACAGACAGCTTGCCTATGTATAATGTTTCTTCCCTGACAGTGGACCCTAGGGGTCATTACCTGTGGCACCATGTCCAGTAATAACTAAGTCCTGGACAGAGTCCAGGCCCAGGAACCCTTGAGTGTTTCTGGTGGAAACAGTAGTCTGCAAATGCAGGAGCTTTGGGCTGTCCAGAACAGACCCCCAGAGGGCATGCCTGTCAGTGGAGGGGTTGGTCCTGGCCCCTCAAACTTGCAGTCATCCTAGGCAGGCTGGATCTCACCTTAGTGACTACATTAGCAGCCCAAGCCCCTAGAATGTATCCCTTGCAGGTGCCTATATGCCTAGCACTATATGCCTAGCACTAAATATCTAAGGGACACACTGGCTACACACTGGCCCCACCACCTTCTCCACTCATGCAGCATTTACTGACCAACTGCTATGTGCCACATAATGTTTTAGTGGGTGGGGATGAATATAGGAGTGAAGCTGGGGTGTAGCTCAATGGTAGAGCACTTGCCCAGCATACACAAGGCCCCAGGTTTGATCCTTACCACCACAAAAAAAGAAGTAAATGGAAGAACAAAAGGTCCCTGTCCTTATGGAGCTGATGGTCCAGAGGAGGCACTGCAACTTAGCACAGCCCTTTCCTGCAGTGGCTGCTCTGCAGAGAAAATAACAATCAGAGAGACCCAGACGCTTGGGCTGGACACAGGATAGTGTGTAAAGCAGCAACCTGGGGAAAGCACCTGTTTTGGGGTAGATCTACCAGGTACTGTAACCCTCTTGCCTCATCTGTCCCCTACAGGAATGTGGCCTGTTGCGGAAGGGGACAGTACTTCTGGCTGACAATGTCATCGTCCCAGGAGCACCAGAATTCCTGAAATATGTACGTGGGAGCAGCAGCTTTGAATGCACACACTATAGCTCTTACCTGGAGTACATGAAGGTGGTGGATGGCCTGGAGAAGGCTGTCTACAAAGGCTAAGGCAGTCCAGTGCCGTCTTAACTGCCCACCCTGCTCTGGGCAACCCTGCCAAATCTGGTTCAGAAGGATGAGATGGACATGTTCCTGCTGAGTTCACATCTGTGATTCTGGGGTTTTTCCTTAAATATAAAGCATACTTCAGGCCTGTGAGGCCTGAGCCTTGCTCAGGCTGCCCTTCTGTGTTGCACTTCCAAATTATCACACACTGGCACACTTCAAAGTGTAGGGAGCTCGCTATACAAAACCACTACATTATATCTGGACGATATCTGTTGATAAAGACTGAACTAAGGGGTTAAAGATATAGCTCAGTGGTAGAACACTTGTCTAGTATGCACGAGGCACTAGGCCCAAGCCCTAGCACTGTGAAAAATAACAAAAAACTGGAGGGGAGCCAATAAGAGTGTCACTAACTGGCAAATGTAATTCCAGTAAGCTGTGTACATGCATAGGTCCACAGGCACTGACAAATCCATTAGATCTAGGAAAGGGTGAGGAAGCTGCAAACATCTGGAAACTGATGGACTCACATTCAGGCTGTCCTAGAGGTTTGCTGTTACCAGGTGCCATCAGTGTTGGAGTGACAGTACCTTCTACTAACTCCCTTCACACTTCTGACTCAAATTTCTCCCTTTTTAAGAATAAGTCATAACCTCTTTATTGAACTCAGCTAGCTGTAATAATCTTATATACTAAAATGTTTACAAGCTGGGTGTGGTGACACACACTTGTGATCCCAGCATTCAGGAGGCTGAGGTAGGAGGATTGCTGCCAGTTCAAGGCCAGCTTGGGTTACATAGTGAATTCAAGGCCAGCCTGAGCTGCAGAGTGAGACCCTGTCTCGAAAAAAAAGTTTAGGGCTGGGGATTTAGCTCAGTGCCACTGCACCTGCCTTGCAAGCCCAAGATCCTGAGTTTGATCCCCAACACCAAAAAACAACAACAATAAAAAGTTTAAGACATAAAATAGAAATTAAAGATCTAAATATTTATATACAAGAGAACAGGGCTGGGGATTTAGCTCAGTGGTTCCGCCACCTGCCTCACAAGCACAAGGACCTAAATTCAATCCCCGGTACCAAAAAAAAAAGAGCAACTGAGTAGTCTTCTCAATCACCACACCACTCCTTTTGTCCTGATGGCCTCAGTTTCAACATCAAACACACCAAGCCCACACCAAGCCCTCTTGAGAGGATGCTAATGTTACAGGCCTGGCTCATGAGTGGCTGGGTCCTGGGTATCACACTCAGCCTAGGGCTCCTGGTTACAGCAGTGGAAAGGGAGCTAACCCTGCTTGGCACTGCTGCTGGTTAGGCCAGGAATACATTCGGTCCACCAGGATGTCTGTCTCCCTGGAAAGCCAGAACAGGGCAACTGACCAGTCTTCACACCCATCTCTGACCAAGGAGGTGCTGGACTAGGTGGGCATGGGATTATATAGAGTGCCCAGCCCTACTAGACACACCAGTGACCTAGAGTGTAAGTGAAAGCCCTTCCTTTCCCTGTCCCACCCAGTCTTGTTTACCAGAAGAGAAAGGCAGGCTTGGGCTGGTTGGATATTTCTGCTGATTGCCCACCTGGTAAATGATGAAGCAGAGTTGGTTTGTGCTGACCTATGTCCAGAGCTGCCCCAGCTGCCACCTTGGCACTCAAGCCTTAACTACCTAAGTAGACTGCTGGCCACCCGAGAGTCTCCAGTGCCCTAGCAGGGGTCTAGTTCCTAGTCCGGACCAATGTTGACCAAGACCTTGCTCTTGGGCTCAGGGTCAGCTAACCACCCAGAAGCCAGCCCACTCCTCTGGGCCTAGAAAGGGGGTCAGCAGCACACCGAGGAAGGGTATGGGGAAAAGCCCAAGGGTCAGCCCCCTGCTGGTCACAGCAGATGGCAACTTGATGTCTGTCTCTGCCCATTCCCCACCCTTCACCCTCAGCACTGAGAGGGGCTGGCGGATTGTAAGCAGGGCGCTGACAAGACAAGAAATTACTTTGCTTTTTTTAATTTTTAAATTTTCTTACAAAAATTTAGATGTTTACCAATACAATCTTATTTTGGTTTCATCTTAATGCTTTTTATCAGTGTTTTTCTTCTGTTTTTAAGTCACAAACAGCAGGCACTGAACAGCAGTCTCCTGCCACCGCTGGAGGTCAGTCCTGGAAGTTACTGAGGTTCTGGACAGATCCAATGTAGCAGCCATGATGGCCCTAGCCAGAAGTGGCTCAGTGCAGGGTCCTTCTGCTTGGGGGGGGGGGGGTCTCACACATCCACAGGATTCCAAGGGTGGAAGGGGGTAAGCAGAGCCGGACCCCCACTTTACTGCCTCCAAAGCCTCCCTGCCTGGGCCCACCCTTACAGAGCAGCCCCAAGCTGCCCATGGTCAACCTGCCATGCAGGATGGGGCTCTAGCCAGGGGATCCCCTCTGGAATTCAACTGCTTTACCCCCTCTCCCTGCCTGGCTGCCTGTCCCCAGGACCTCCTCCCCCAGTCTATATTGCTCCTCTGGGGCACTTGCATATGGGGTACACTCTCCTATTCTGCCAAACCAAAGCCAGGCTCCTTCCCCTGTTGCCTCCCTGGGCCCCGCCCCAACATTCTTCCGCTCACTCACACACAGCACCATGTCAGTAAACAGCTAACTCAGGCCTTGGAGTTAGGTCAGGAGAGCAGAGGGAGGGATGGACAGGAGAGTATGCAGAAAATCGGGCCCTGGCTCAGGGCAGGAGGCTCCACCAAACCCCTGCCACCAGAGGGCTCCAAGCTCCATGACAGGGTCTGCCCAGGATGGCCCTTCTCCTGGCGATCCAGTCTCTAAGAACAAATGGCTGAACCCAGGCCCTGCAGAGGGAGGGAAAGGTAGACCCTGCAGCCAAACACACAGGAAGGGCCAGCAGAATGGGGCAGGGCAACAGACAGACAGGGCAATTGCTTCCATGGGCCACACTGAAGGAGATGTGAACAAAAGCTCCAGCTGCTGTAGGTCAAGAGTAGGGCGGGTGAAAACCTTTAGGGGGTTAGAGCAACCCCACGTGACTTGACACCAAGGCAAATCTTGACTCACTTGACCACCGCTGGAGGTCAGTTTCTGGAAGTTACTGAGGTTCTAGAAAGATGCATTGTGGCAGCCATGATGGCCCTAGCCAGAAGTGGCTCAGTGCAGGGTCCCTCTGCTTGGGGGGTCTCACATCCACAGGACTCCAAGCGTGGAAGGGGGTAAGCAAAGCCTGAGCCCCACTTCACTACCTCCAAATCCTCCCTGCCCGGGCCCACCCTTACAGAGCAGCCCCAAGCTGTCCATGGTCAGCCTGCCTTGCATCCTTGTGGAGCCCTGTGCTAGGGGTGTTTGAAGGTCTAGGGGCTGGTCCCTGATCTCACAGTGCCTAGGATAGGGCTGTAAGCCCTGAGAGGACCTCTGTCTGATCTCACCTAAGATGAGCACTTGGGCCTGCTGTGCTTTCTGGGGAGCACACAAGAAGAGCAGAGCATGCAAGCAGCAGATTAACAAGAAGCCCCTGCTCAGGGAAAATGGACAAACAACCAGACAAGAGAACCACCAGACAAGAAAACGTACCAGGCATGCAAGCTAGACCCAGGAGTCAACAGGCTGAGGCTTAGAGTCCCCCACGGCGTTCACCAGCCTGACCGCAGGCCTGCTGGGCCCAGAAGGAGGGGCCTTCCTGCTGGGGTCGGGCTGCAGCACACAGGTAGGTGGGTGGGTGGGTGAGCAGCAGTATGTTAGAGGCAGAACAAAGCAAGTTAGTTGCAGCTAAAGGGCAGGGCTGGGCTGGTCAGTGGGGCCAAGGCAGTGCTGTAAGGATTGGCCCCTCCAAGGCAGCACAAGAGAGCTGAGCTGGAGTGGCTCACACAGGCTTGGGTGGCACATGGATGCACACAGAGGCCCGTGCATGAAGCCAGGGGATTGGCACAGAGCAGGTAGCAGGTGCTGTCCTTGCCACCAGACTATGGCAGGCACCTTGCCCACACACATGCATACAGAGAAGTGTGAATACCTGCTTGCTCAGGCTCTCTGGTCCTCTGCAGTGTACAGCGGGGGAACTCTGTTCCCTGCCCCCTTCCTCCCAATAAGCATGAGCCACAAACCCATCAGCACTCACAGGCTGACTGCTATGAAGGGCTGCTTCCTGGGCAAGGTCCCATGGTCCAGCTGCCCCACCAGTGAGTGCCGCCTCAGTGTTGTCCAAGGTCAAACTCAACATTGCCTGGCTACCTTTTGGGCAAGCTCCAAAGCCTCCCTGGGAACCTGCTCATGGCCACTTACTTTTTTTTTTTTTTGGTACCGGAGATCGAACTTGGGTCCTTGCGCTTGCGCAGCAGGCGGCGAAACCACTGAGCTAAATCCCCAGCCCGCCACTTACTTTTAATGGTTCCTTCTCAGAGCCCTCCCCTGCAGAGTTGCTGCCCAGGGCCCTCCGCTCCCTCCGGTCCACAGTAGAGTATCCGTCTGTGGAATGGGGTAGGGTGGGAGCTGTGAAGAAAGATCTAAGGAGTGGCACTGTAGGAACAGGTGATCTCCTCAGCCCAGACAGAGTGGACCCCTGGAACATGCGGCTATTGCAGAGTCCACATATACTCTGTCCTGGAGCCAGCTCTCACCACCCCACCTCATTCCCTGAGGACCTTTGAACCAAATCTCTTCTCCAACCAGCACCTCCTTGGAAAGCTTTCTCATCACAAACACATCCCTTACAACCAGTAGGCCCCTCACAGCCTCACCCCTCCTGATCAGGGAACAAGCCCGCACACCTGCTCTCACCTGGACCAAGTGTATCCATGGGGATCACATCCCGGCTGCCTGCCTTCTCACCATCTGCAAGGCATGAGCAGGTGGCTGGTTGCAAGCAGTGGGTAAGGTGTAGTGGGACTAGGGCAGACAAACCCACCCCCCAACACCAGCCCTCTGTCACTAATGTCTTTGCATTCTTCTGCCCAACCTCTGTCTCCTGGCAGCCATCCCCCAGCTTGGCACCCATGCAGATGCTATGGAAATGAAGTACCCAAAAGGCTGCAAGCAGGGAGAGGGGCCCTCAACCATGGAGCCATCTTAGTAGGAGAGGGCCTATCTCCTCCCCTCCCCCTTGTTACCATCAATGTATGTGGGTACCTACTCTTGAGCTCAGGAATGGATGAAATGCTGCCTCTACTCACCAAGGCTCTTGTCTACCAGCGGCAGTGTGCTGTCATCGAAACCCCCAGGACTCTGTGCTCCCTTGGGGCTCTTGGCGGCGGTAGCAGCTGACTGAGGCAAAATATAGGTATGAGGTGAAGTCAGAGGCCTTCCTTGGGGACCTGACCTGGCAAAGGGAAAGTGCCAAGGCAGAAAGAGCCACACCTGGAAGCGTGCCTTGGTCCAGCCATCCCTCTGTAGGGTGCTGCGCAGCTCCTTGTAGCTCCACACGGTCTGCAGCACATGTGAGGCTGCCTTTGCCTCACGAACTGACTGGCTGTGGCAAGCCAGAGGCAGGGTCAGTGGCGTGCCCCACCTCATTCTCCCCTGCCCCACCCCTGGCCCACCCCCACCCACCTGGCTGCCACCAGTGCCACAAGCGCTGGCACACCATGGGCCTGCAGGAGTGAGCGCACATTGTCCAGGCTATCAGACACGATCTCATGGATGGTGTTTAGCACGGCCACCACTGTGTCCTCCTCCAGACGGGCCTCAGGACGTGTAGGAACTTGCACATTTCGCACGTTCCGCACCAGCTCAGCCATGGCATAGCTCCCTGAGGGGCAGGGGCAGGTGTTGGGACACACCTGTGCCCACCCCTGTAGGAAGGTGCAAGGGTCAAGCAACAGGTGTCAATGAGGGAGTGCCTCAAAAAGTGGGTTGAACCTTGGGCACAGGACCAGAGAGATGCAAGCTACATGGGTGGGGCCTGGACCCCTGAACCACTGAAGAATGAGTAGTGCCTGATAGCATGCCCTAGCTTGGGCCTTCCAGTGTCCTCACCTATGAGGTCCTTGTTGCGCCGGTCCAGCGAGAGGTTGCGCAATGCAATGGCAACAGCACGCACCACCTTGTCCGTCTCAGACTGCAGCAGTTCCACCAGCACCGGCAGCCCACGCTCCTTGCGCACTGTGGCACGGATGTATGTAGCCCACTGTGACGGTGGGAGCAGGGTGGTAGGCTGCTCTGTGGGGGTCGGGCAGCACAAAACCCTACCCCAGCAGCTCCAGGACACCTCCACCAGCTACAAGAAGTGCACCATGGTCCCCTCGCCTCCCCAACAGCCTGAGCAGTGGCTACAGGCAACACAACAGGGAGCCTGGAACTCCCTCTGTCCAGTTCTTGCCCTCCCCACCAGACCTGACCCTCACCATCCAGTTCCCAGCACTGAGGTTTTGTAAAGCACCAGCAGCAGCCTCCAGAGTGTTGAAGTTCCGGCTCTCCGTAAGGAGGGAGAGGTAGAGACGTACCACCTCGGGCTGATACAGCAGCTCAAAGCCTGGACACAAGGCAACCACAGCCCATCATCATCCAAATTCTCTCGCTTCAATTCCTCACCCCTACTCACAGTACTCCCAGAGCTGGGGCCGAGATGGATGTGGAGTAGTAAGGGCATGTTTATTACCAATGTAGTCCTCTTACAGCCACCCAAAGGCAAAAGTGTTCCCATTTCACAGAGGAATAAACAGGCTTGGCGACGGGTTCAGGTGAGAGCCCTTCTTCAACCCTGCTGCCAAAGAATTGGGACTAGCAGCCTTAGCATTCAGGAAGCCTGGGGTGCAGAAGGAGGCAGCAACTGGACCACTCCCTTACAACAGGACCCCTCTCCAGAAGCATACAGCTGAAGCCTCTAGCAATAGGTCCTTCCCTGGCAATACGTCCTTCTTCCCTGGCAAGAGGGACCGCCTTCGCCTGTGACTGAGACTGCAGCCAGAGCCCTGCCCCTAGCAACAGGGCCTGCCCTTCCAGGCAACCACTTCAGGCTCCTAGCATTTGAGGCCAAGCCTGGTTGCATGACTGCCTGGAGATAGTGCCCTGCATAGGATTCCAAAGACATGGGCCCAGGCAGCCTTCCAGGCCTGTCTGATCCATGTTGGGGGCTTCTGGCTGGCTTAGGACATTACCTCCCTCTCCCCGGTCCTCCCACCCATTTCATTCCTCTTTCCCTACTCCTCATGCCCCATGCTCTCTCCATTCCAGCCTGCTGGGCTTCCTGCTCCACAAACTCTCCAAGCACATTCCCTTCTCAGGACATCTGCACAGGTCTGCCTGGAAGTATCTCACAGATCTCCCATGGCTGGGCCCTTCACCCCACTTGGTGGTATCTGAGCTATTCTAACTGGCAGGGGTGGCTGGGCCCCTCCATGGCAGTTTTTCTCAGGCTGGTTTCCAGTGCTCAACACAATGCCAGTGCATATCAGGAATCCAGCACAAAGGGAACAGGGAAAATGAGTCACCTGCCCCTGCCTCTGCCTGAAACTGACCAGGACCTCCTGGCTTCCAGCCCTCTGAGTGACAGAGGACCTGCCTTCACTGGGTTCTTCCCTCCAACTGGCCCACTACTCACCTGTTGAATAACTGAGCAAGAGCCTAGCCACTCTTCCCATCTACCTTGCCTGAAAAGACCCAAGGCACTGACCCTAATTCTGAACTCTCAGGAGGTGCCAAGGTCTGGACCACCTGCCAGAGAACCCCCCACATGTATAGGCCTGATGCTGATGGCACAAACCCTCACCACCTGGCTGGTCCTGAACCCAAGCACTCCCACAGGTGCTGGCTCTGCCTCTGCCCACTCACCTTTAGCAGCCTCAGTTCTCTTGGGCAGGTCCAGCGTGTCAAAGTTCCGGTCCATCTCACTATCCTTCTTCCCTGGAATGGAAGGGTGGCAGGAAATGAGGTAGACTCCTAGGAGGCAAGAATGTATTGGTGGGGGTAGGCACAGCCCTCCTGTCCACAGTCCCAAGAGCATCCTGGTGACCAGCTTTGGGCATCAGAAGGCCCAGGGAAGAGCATCATTCTCAGAGTTCAGGCAGGCAAACTGCCAGGGCAGGGCAGTGGTGGCAGTGGGGCCTCAGGACATCTTAGCCCTGTCCTGAGCACCTGGGGCTCATCTCCCATCAGGTGCTAGGAGCTATAACACAGGCCTACAGCTCCTCTATGGGTGTCAGACCTGTAAAGTAAGGGAACCAGGAGCCCAGGTTGGGTGTCAGGTAGAAACAGACTCAGAGTTGACAGGGACAGAACTTATTGGGGTCACACAGCAACGCAGGGCTGGGGCTGAGTCTAATACAAAGGGAAAACACCCCTAGTCAGGAGCCACCCTCTACCAGGCAGGAGAACCCTCACTTCCAGGCCAAGCTACTAAAGCAGCCCCATAAAACACTTTCATTCCTCCACAACAGTGAGCTGTCTCCAGCCACCACCTACATCTCAGCTGAGGGTAACCCTGGAAAGTGGCAAGGTGGACTGAGATGACCTGGGGACCTTCCCTGACCATCCTCATGGGACCTTTATGTGTCTAAGCCACACATCACCCCATTCTACCAGAGGGGCAGACTGCCCCCTGGTTCCCCTGGGTATGGCACACCCTGGGTCCTGCCCACTATGCTCTGCTATAATCCTGACTAGGAAGCTGAGTCTGGCTACAGGAGGCAGCCCTGCAGCCACCCCACCAGCCCTGGGCTCACATTCTTGCATTTGTCATGTCCCCAGTTGTCATGGAGATGGCCCTTTGATGGGACTGGGAGCAGGGCCTTGAGGCTGGAAGGCATCCCAGGAGGCCACTGCACCAGCTGCCCTGCAGTTGTCATGGAAATAACTGCCTGAGTAATTGGGGACAGGTATCTCCCTGGTACCCAATGCACCTGCCAGTCCTGGATAGCAGGACAAACAGGGACTCACCTTGATGGAACCACTCCTCTGGGCGGCGGAAGGAAGCACAGGAGAGAGGAGATGAACCTGAGCAGGTGCACACTCCCCATGCTCTTATGTTCCCACTACATGCCCTGGGTCAAGCATGGGATCTCACCTTGAATATTGTAGGGCTCAGTGCCCACCCGTGCGACAGGGAAGGAGAGGCCTGGGGTCAGAGGGACAGGTGAAGGGAGTGAACAAGTTCCACAACTGCTGTAAGGGATGGAAGTTGCTGGAACCTGCACCTTGCAGGTACCAAAGGGGATGGAGTGTAGCAAGGGGCTCACCCAGATGTGATGGGACTTATCAGGGCCTGCAAGGAGCTCTGGGTCACCTTGACACTTTCCAAACTCACAGGCCTGCAGAGCACTTCCCCAAAATTCAGGGACAGGGTCTGGGCAGTGGTGGAGGCCATCACATGGTCACCCACTGGGAGGCCACCACTGCAGAGGGGAAAGCAGAGCTTGGGTCTGAGCCATGACCCATTAGCAGTGTGACCCAGGGCAGCACACCCTTCTCAGTTCCCTGCTTCCTGACCTGCAACTTGGGAGATGACCAGATGTCCTCTGGCCTTCATGACCATCTACCATGGACATAGAGAGCCTTTTGCCTAGGACGGGAGTCTAGAGGAGTGTCCTGGTATCACCCACCCACCTTTGGCCTTCTTGCCACCAAAGCAGCTGGCGTCATCCCTCTTCCGTCGCTGGGAGCCTGCAGTAATGCCTGTGGGCCTGGGCTCAGCCTCCTGGTACCTGTCGGCACCAGGCACCTCCTTGTGCACATGGTAGGACAGGTTCCGCATGATGCACACGCAGTTTTCCACTGACTGTGGGGAGAGGTGACCTGGTAGAGCAGGGCCATGGGATGTGGGCTGCTGACCATCCCAGGACCCCATGTATGGAGCGAGCCCTCGGGAAAGACTGGTCACTGCCAGAGGACACCAAGCATGGAGAGAGGGAGGACTGAGTGGGGGGTCCACATAGGAGGTAACTGCCAGGGAGTCCCCCCTCCCCACCTTGTGTAGCTCTTGTCATGTGTAGGGCCCCATCCCCTTCCCAATGTGGCCAATACACTGTGCGTCATGTCTGGAGCCATACTCCCATTTCCTTGAACCACTCCAGATGGCTCTGGACTTGCATCCCATTCCTGCACTGCCCTTGGTGAGAGGCTTTGAGACTGCGCCCACCTTGTTGTCTGTGTCCTTCCTGCTCACAGCTGACTGCAGAGCATGCAGGAGGGCATCCACCAGACCCTCGCACTCTCGGAGTCGTCGCCGGGCCTCAGCACCATCAGAGCTCACATTCCTGGTGGCCAAGAGCAGGCCTAGTGACCCCTGGTCCCCATGGTAAGTCCCCCAGCACCATGTTTGGCCTTGGGCTTGTCTTTATCTGCACAATGGGCCCTGCTGCTGCCACAGTGAGGCTACTGGGACAGAATAGCACAGCCTAGACACGGTGAAGCGGAGGCAGGGAGCCCAGGCCATCCCCAAACCCCAAGTGAATTGGAAAAAGATAGAGGTAGACCCAAGAGGCCTGAATCTGTGGATGGTCACTTCTGCCCATCTCAGTGGCAGTTCTGGGTCCCAACTTGCCCTGCGGTCAGAATCCTACAGGGTCACGGGAACATGAACTGATGGACACCCAGGACCACAGGGTTCTAGGACTCATCTGTGAAGTCTCTACAGGGCCTCCCAGGAGACAGGGAGAGTAGGGGTCACAGGGTGGAGGGGTAGATAGTGGAGGGTCTCAGTCAGAAGCAGATTGGAGATGAGAGGTCTGCTTCCCTTCCCTGGCTGTCACGGTGCCAGGAGGGTAAGCAGGGCTGGATTGGTCAAGCACTGTAGCAAAGGTGGGAGACCTTGGGAGGGTGCCCTTGGGGTGAGGAAAGCCCTATCAAGCACATTTCCCACCCACAGGACTTGTGATGTGGCTCTGAAGCTCCTAAGATTCAGGTGGTTCACTGTGTTCCATGTGACCTGGAACCTGAGGACATGGCAGCCCCCAAGATGAGGCCAGGTATGCACACTGGCTTTGGCATCCCCTCCTGCATCCCTGATCAATGGAGCAACCAGGCAGCCTGGGAGAATAAGCCCAAGAGTGGCCGCTGTCCACACCTCAAGCAGCCTGATGTGTTCTTGAAAACAGTCGTCCACTCGGCATCCCGAGGCTTGGAGTCCTCATTCGGTTCCCGCTCCCAGCCCGAATGGGGCACGATGACCTCATGTGTCAGTGTCTGCAAGCCGTGGTCAATGATGACCATCTTCAGGGGCTCATAGGATGACAGGTTCCACAGCGTGCCTGTGGGGTACCACCAAGCATCACACTGACCATCGGCCCTGCCCCTGCACCTCTCCAGGACCATGCTCAGGACTTGCCCCCACCTCCTTATGCCCCAGCCCACATGGGAAGTTAGTATAGCCTTGTTACTGTGTTTTGTTTGCGGTGCTGAGGAGTGAAACTAGGGCCTTAGCTCATGCTAGGCAAGTGCTCTACCACTGAACTATAGCCCTGGCCCACACAGGCAATTAGGAAAGTAACAAAAGTTGTGAGAGGTTCTGGGGCCTATTCTGGCCTGGTCAAAATATATAGGCAGCACCCCGAGGTGGCTTCCAGCTGGGAGGAAAGAGGTAGGGTACAGAGGAGGGCATGGCAGCTACTCTTATCCATTCTCTGCTTCATGAGTAGGTGGGACTAATGGCTCTGGGACCCTGCCTGTCCTTCAGGTTCAACAATGCACAAGCCCTACCACTGCACTGTCATAGGTTGGAAACCAGAAAGGAGGGGGATTATAGGAACAGTGGGGAGGGGCCCTCTCTTATGGGCCCAGTGCTACCCCCTATGGAAGAGAGACAGACCCATCACAGCATCTGGGCCTAGTGCCTGCACCCAGGGCAAGCTGTTCTAGCAGCTGGGACATCTGACCAGCTGGGTATTACCCAGCCCTGTGGCCACACTCCCCTCAGGCTGAGGCTTGCTGTCCTTGCTTGCCTTCTTTTCCTGGGGAAGAGTAGGCACAGCCAGTCCCACTCACCGGTGACTAGCTCACGGACCTCGTTGTCACGGGCAGCACGCAGCAGGCGCACCAGGGCAGGCACACCACCGCAGTCACGGATGGCAGCCTTGTTGTCGGTGTCACGGCCATAGGAGAGGTTGCGCAGTGCCCCACAGGCCCGGCGCCGCACCTCTGCCCGAGGGTGGTCCAGCAGTGCTACAAGGAGTGGCAGGCCACGCAGCTGCCGCACACGCCGCTTCACACCCTCATTCTCAAAGCACAGATGCTGCAGGTAGGCAGCTGCATTGGCCTTCACAGGGTCCACAGGGTGCCGCAGCATGGCCAGCACCTCGGGAAGCTCAGGGTCCCGCCAGCGCGGCTCCTTGCGGGTGCTGTCCACTGAAGGCGAGTGCCTCACCGCCCGGTCCAGGCTGCCCAGGCTGCCCCGCTCAGGCTGAGCTAGTGGTGCTGTTGCTGCCAGGAATGGGGGCCTCTCGTCAATCAGCTCACCAGCATCATCTGCTGTGTCCTCGTAGGTCCTGTGCAGGCAAGCAGGGCATATGAATACCTTTACGCCAGCCGTCTGCCCTACCCTCTGAGCTACCCATCACACTGTCCAGAATTGTGTGAATCCCAGAGGAGGGTTGAGAGGAGAGAATCTATGTCTCATCCCAGAGCATAGAGTCACATCCTAGCCTAGCAAGGACTGACTCAAAGCCATGTCCTGAACAATGGTCATCAGGACTTATATCCCTCCCAGAAAGGGGAGCTTGCTCACTACTGTCAACAGGAGCTAAATGTGTTTCCATGTAACATCCATTCATGATAGGATGGTGGAGGTTGAGGGTCCCCACTCTCTTCAATAAGGTCATCCGGCTGGTGCCAGGATGTGAGATGAGTTGCAACCCTCTTCCCTCTCTGCATTTGGCTGTTCTACTAGGACCATCAAAGGGACAGTTGGACCACCAGTCCTGCAGGGCACAAGATCTCCTTGTCTCTGAATAGCTTTGTGGCTTAGTCATTAAACACCTTCTCCGGCAAGAGAATGAGGCCGGAGGGTTTAGGTGATTAGCCCAGAGTCACACAGGAATCTAGACCTATGGTTGTGTTCTTATGCTGCATAAGGGACAAAACCAGAGGCTGTGACAAAAGGCACTAGGGTTCTGGATTCTGTGCACAGGGGTGACTGAGCCCCAGGCAGAGGCTGGAACCTGAAACTCAGAGTAACACCCTGAGCCTCTTGTGCTCAGGTCTTGACAGCTACCTGCCGGGAGCAAAACAGATGTCAAGCACTGTCACCAGTGTCTCTTCCACTCAGCCTGACTCCTACCATCTCCGGGCCTGTCCTTATTGCTGTCCTTGAGAAAAGCTGAGGCTAATTCAAACTAACATGTGCATGACTAACTCAGCCCTGGCAGCTTGGTACTCTGGGCTAAGGAATGGAAGGTGGACTTCCCAGAAGAGGAACAGAGTGCTCACCTGGCCCGGAGGCCCCGCCCACAATCAGGTCTCCTCCGTGTGGCTGTGCCATAGTCCGGCTCCAGCTCAGGGCCACCCTCATCATCGGCAGCCAGGCTGCGTGTGTCATCCTCTAAACCATAGGGCTCTGCCTGGAAATGCTCAGGCAGAGAGCGGCCACTCTGTGGCCCAGGCTCAGGACCCACAGGGAAGGCCTCCCGGCGGCCAGGCAGTGTAAAGCACCCATCGCCAGGTCCAGGGCCAAGAGGACCAGTGCGTGGGGGTCGCACTCCAAGCCCTCGGGACAGGCTGCCATAGTTAGGGCCATCACGAGGCTCAGGGCCATTGGGAAAGCCACCTCCGCTGCTGAGGTAGGCTCGGGAAAGTGTGGCTGCTGGGCCACCACCGCGAAGCAGGAAATGCCGGTCCAGGGGGCCATCGGCAAAAGGGCCAAGTGGGGGGCCGCCATCCAGCAGGGGGAGTCCATCTGGGCCCAAAGGCACCTGGCGTACTGTCCTCGTGGTCACTGTCTTGACTGTCTTGGTGACCTGGTGGATAGGCAGGTGGTAGATAGGCTGGGCAGCCTGAGAGGTCTGGACAGCACTCTGGTAGAACCAGTGTGACCTCCATTTTCCACCCAAACAAGAAGCAGCCATAGGGGGCTGGCCCACACACCCACTCTGCAGAGGAACCTGGTCCCGGCCATACCTTGGTCTCGGTACGCCGGGTTGTTCCATCTTCAGATGTGACGATGGACACATGGGAGGTGGGCGTGCCAGGGTCCTCTTCCACTGTCACAGTCTCCTCGAGCACCTCGGGCGCCTCAGGCATCGTGACCAGCGATGCCTGGCTGCCCGGGCTCTGTTCCTAGGGGAGGAGGGGAAGGTGTCAGGGGCAGGACCAGCAGCTGATATGTCCCTGGAATGCGGGTGCCTGCAGATGGCAGACTCTGCCTTAGCTCATGCCAGCCAGTACACTAGGATCCCCACCCCTGTCCCAGAGCCTCCTCGGGCTGGGTTGGCAGATAAACATAGGATGGCCCTCTCTGAACTATAAGACTGCTTCAGGCTCCTCCAAGCCTAGGAGGAGCCAGCAGGAACCTGTAGGATGTCTTCCCAATGTCTACTTGCCACCCCTAGCTTGACTCTCAAGGTGTCCTGGGGCCTCCTCCCTGCCCCATCCCAGAAACCTGAAATGCACAAATGTTCAAATGGCAGTTTCAGCACCACTCACTAACTTCTGTGGTCACACCCAGGCTCCTGCCACCAAGGACAGCCAGGGCCCCTTGCAGGACAGAAATATCCAGCTCCCAGGATGCACTGTGTACCCAGAGCACCAAAATATCCTTGCTCCTTCCGGCTCAGACACTCTTGGGGCCTGGCGTGGGCACAGTCTGGCCCTACCTCAGTCCAGAGGCCAGCACCCGTGATGGAGACCCTGGAGGTCATATCAAGGACTGGAGATGATGGATTCATAGCTGCATCTATGTTGCCATCCCTTTGGAGAGGGGGAATGATGGTGGAATTATAGGGAAGATAGATCTGGACTGAGGCCCTCCTAAGGCCCACATGCCCATTGGCTGGACTTGCCAGTAGGGAAACTGAGCCTCAAAGAGGCTCAGAGTCCCTGATACACTGAGTGGCAGGGGGAGACCCAAGAGCCACAGTCTGTCCCTGGGCTTCTGCCCATTAAGGTCCCCAGCCCCAAGGCCCCACTATGCCAATATTCTGGGATCAGCATCTGCCAGGACTGGCAAGGCTGAAACCGAAGCTGTAGTGGGTGGATGAGGTGGGAGCACATTCCTGGGTAGCCAAGAGCAGGTCAGCAGGAAGGTATGCCTCAATCTGTGGCCCAGGTCCCAGGGCCTTTCTGGATGGGTCCCCTGCCTGTCCCCTGTCTCCCCACCGCCCCCCAGCCAGCAGCTCACTCTGCATCAACCTTGCTCCAGAGTCCTTTTCTAGACTTGGGAAGTGCCCAGGGCTGCTCTCATGATGTGCTTCCAGAGATTTTCAGACAGGATACTCTCTCAGGTAGGGAGCTATCCTGAAGGAATGCTTGACCCCCAGAGGATCAGTAGGGCTCTGGGTGGGGGCTGAACTAACATATTAGGACAGGTGCAACTCTCAAGCTCTGGTGACAGAGGGAAGTGGAGACAAAGAATGCACTTCCTCCAGAAGCAGGGCCTTAGAGAATAAGAAATGGCTTTATAGATGAGGAAACTCAGGCCCAGCAGAGGGGCAATTTCACAACTGCCAGGTGGGAGATTTTAGGCACTTGTCTGACAAGGGAACCTTTGCAACCATCTCACGCCTTGGGGACAGGGCCTTGACAGCCACCATCTTGGTCCTAGAATGGGGTGGAATGCACTCTTGGAACTTAGCCAGGAAGAGGAGACCCTGTTTCCTGGGAAAGAGAAATATACTGAGGCCCAGAGTGGGGACAACTGGCAGGCTGCCAGGCAGGGTGGCCTGGGCTTTTCTCCAAGGAAACTAGGAAGTCAGGACAGCGCCAGAGCAGGAGTAAACAAGGGGTAAGTGACCCTGCAGGGACCTGGGCTGCCCCATCTGTATTTAGCGACTGCATGTCGGCCCCAGCTCTCTCTGCTGAGTCTTGGTAGCTAATCAGTGCTCCAATGTGGTGAGCCAGGCACTGAGAGGCTGCATTCCTGAGAGCAGAATAGTGAGAGGAGCAAGACAGGCGATGTGTTGCCCAGGACACTCTACCAGTGGGCTAGGGCCCCTTAGTAGATTTGCATACATTTGCATGCATTAAATATTCAGCAAAGAGCCCACAGCAAGGCGGTAGGACAAGTGGGGAGGAAAGGGAAAGAAAGACATTATGATACCTCATTGCTACTCTACAGCCCAGCTTCTTCCTCCCACCCTGGCTGTGGTAAGGGTCTGACACAGGGCAGTTGGGATGATCCAGGATAACCAGGTCCCCAGCCAAGTTTTGGCAACCCTGCAACATCATCTACTAACACTCAGGCCCAAAACTGGACAGTGGTATCCCGAGGCCCCAAGAGTCCCTGCTGGCAAATGACCTCAGGGAGCTAAAAATGGACAATGACTTCACCCAGGGGGGAGGGTGAGTCATCTGGTGCTCTTAGGAAAGCCCAGCCTCTTTACACATGCCACAGCACACATGTAACTGATCCTTCAGAAACATGTCCATGTCTACTAGTACATGAGCACCTAGCCTGGCACATAGGTCCACACACAGGAATGTGGGTCTCTTTTTTTTTTTTTGGTACCGGGGATCCAACTCGGGTCCTTGCGCTTGCACAGCAGGCGGCGAAACCACTAAGCTAAATCCCCGGCCCTGAATGTGGGTCTCTTAACAGCACCCCAAGTACACAACACCTACTACTTCAAGAGGAACACATCTGAGTACCTGCTTCTCATGTCTTCACCCATTATCCAGACCCTTATCCATACAGGGCCTTGAGATGTGCTGTCAATATGCAAGGATGGAGTACCAACTCGCCCAGTCACTCAACCAAGCATCCACTATGGGGGGGTCTCAGAGTGGCAAATGGGTAAACTGAGGCCTATTGCAGAAAATGGTCTAAGATCATCTGGTAGCTCAGGCTCTGCAACAGCTTCCTGGGGGGTCCATGGGATGGTGGGCTGTTAATGAGTACACAACACTCAGCAGAGGGGACTAGCTGGGGTGCTCTATTCTGGGCTCCCCATCTCACATCCACCTACCTAGGCCACCTCATTCTCAAGGACCCTAGCCCTGCAGCCCCACACTACTAGTGCCCAAGAGCCTGGGGCACTTCCTTTGGGCAGCTTCCTCTGGATAAACCATCCCAGACCCACTCCCATTCTGTGTTCGGCTAAGCATCTATTGTTACTCCTCCCTAGCCTTAGCTTCATCCTTTTCCCTCTTTTAGGGACCATGCCCAGCCTCCCATCACTCACCTTTGAGTCTGAAATCCATCTAGGGCCTTCCCATCTGTCGCACCAAGCCCAGGCCTGGGGTTTCCTACAAGACCTTGTGGGAGGGACCAAAGTGGCCAGGAGGCAGACCTACCCACTCACTACTCCTGAGCATACCCTGTGACCCTGGGCCCAGCCAGACACCTGGGGCTTAGCTTCCTCATACAGATATTGGAAGGGCACAGGTGGCCAGACACACTTATGTGACCAGATCCAAGGAATATGGGGAACAGAAAAACAAGATTATGGGTCAAAGCTCAAAGGACTGTGTACTTCACAGATTAGCAACCCACCTTTTCAAGGCCCCCTGTATACACAAGGTACAGGTTAAAGTGAGGCTGCACACTTGGGAGCCCACAGCTTCTAGGCCAGGACCTCAGGGAGGGTCAGGATGGCTACTACTGGATGGATAAAGGAGTGGAGGAGTGACAGTTCTGGTTCCCTCAACCCCATAGTGGCCATCCCAGTCAGAGTGCAGGACAGGTCAGGTTGGCAACTCCTACCGGGCAGCAAGCTCTTGGCCACCACAAAACACCTTCTCCGGTGGTACCCACAGCCTCTGCCCAGCCCTTAGGAACCTGGAGCTCACTCTCCACAGTTCCTGCTAGGGACTGTGCACCTGCCAAAGGTGGTCTCTTGCAGAGTGGCTGGAAGGGCAAGGAGTATCCTATGACCAGCAGGCAGGCAGAACAAGCTTGGGAAGCAAGATGTCATCTACCCCAGCTTCCCTAAGCTCAATCACACTGGAATCATGAGTCGGCCCATGGGCAGCTTCATCTTTGGGGTAGTCAGACCCAGGGGCCATACTTAAGCTGCAAAACAGACAGGGACCTGAAGGTCCAGGTAGGCAGGCGTGAGACCTCAGGCCCACAAGGGGTCTTCTGAGTGGCTGCTCCTCCACTAAGCCTCAAATTTCCTGCCTGTTACTGAACCCCACCCCCCGCCCTGAGCAAATACAGTACAGTACAGGGAGGTCGACAGCCCCGTTTGCACGGAGACCACTCCCGCCTCCACACGTGGGCAGCCAGCCTCCACCTCCTCCTTTCACGTGCGCTGGCGTCGCAGATAGGGACCCTTAAAGCTCCAGAAGGTCCTCCGAAGGTCCCGGGAGTTGGAGCCCGCAAAAGAGGTGGGAGGGGAGGCAAGGCAGTCCTCTCCCCCGGGGTGGGGTGGGGGGAGTAGCAAGAGGCCTAGTCAGTCTTGTCTCTCCAGATTCATTCATCCTTTCTCTGCAGAGAGAGGCCGCTCAGAAGGAAGGGCCCTGGACCCCCACCGGGGTCTCCCGCCACCTGTCCTGGGTGCTGGCTGAAGTATATTCACCCAGCTCCTGGCTCACTCGGAGCGCAGGGGCGCCTCCCCTGGCCCCCGCCCCCTGGCTCCGGAGAACCCGCGGACCCAACCCGCGCTCCGCCTTGCACACCCCCTGGCCGGTGAGCTCACTCCCGCCACTCCGCCGGGGTCCGGCTGCCAGACACCAGAGAGTAGACAATAGCTGCTTTGGGTTGGCGGCTCCATGGAACAAAAGCAGGTCTTCCCGGGAAGGCTGGTAGCCTGCCCCGCGCCCCCTGCCCAGGACCAAGTTCCCTCCAACCTGTCTGAGTTCGGCCGGCATCAGGCCGGGGATCCGGGGGCGAAGGCCAACGGGGCGGCGGCAGCGTCAGCGTCAGGACCGAGCTCCGGTGCCTCGGCCGCCTCGTTCCCCACGGAGGCGGACCCAGCGGCGGGTAAGGCAAGCAGCCAATCCGGCGGAGCCGCGCCCAAGCGGTTGGGGCGGGCGCCATGGCGGGGCGGGGTTCTTCCCCCCCCCCCCCCCCGGCGGGGGGGCCGCCGACGGTCTTTCCTCCCCCCCCGCCTCCCGCCGGCGGGGGCGGGGCTCAGCAACCAGGCATTCAGTCTCCCAGGTCCCTGGCAGGGGTCTGGGAGGTCTTGCTCCTTCCCCATGCAGTGGCATATTCCAGCCCAGCGACTTTCCTCAAGTTTTTCCCAGGCCTAGTGTGCCCTCAGCAAATGAGCACATGCACCCCTCTGCCTATAGAGTTGGGGTAACTGAGTTCCTACAGAGCAGAGGCCAGCCCATGAGGCCACTTTCACCGGCACAAGCCACTCTTCCTGTGACTCAGTTTCCCCTGGCTGGTGAGACAGTAGTTATGGCACTATCAGCACTGCAAGGTCTCTTAAGGCTGCTAGCCTCTGGCCAGCCCCTGCTCCACATAGGCCTCCACAGATCTTAACGAGGACCTAATGAATAGCTGGTGGAAGACAAGTTGCTTTTTTTCGTGTTTTGTTCTTCCCACCAAGACACAGAAGCCCAGGGTCTTCCCATCCTTTGAAGGGTGTCAGACTGGAGCAGGAAACAATTCTTGGGTGACCGTGGATGAGATAATCTTTCTGGTCTTGGACCCTCCCTAAAAGTCCTGGGGGCTAAACCTGCTTCAGACCTCTTCTATGCTTTTAATCTGCTAGGAAGTGGTGACTGGGGGGCAGTATCAGAGATGCTAATGATAGAGGGCTTCTCCTACCAAGGTGTAACCCACCCCAACCCTAACCCCCTAGGTAGCCACACCTGGGAACCTAGGGGACGGGAAGGGCAGGCTGGAGATACCTTCCTGGGTCATTTCCCACAAAGGCAAGCCAATGGCTCAAGCATCATGAATGATGAAAACAGCTCTGAGATGCACAGAGCTGGGCCAGTCCCCAGAGACTCAGTGGGTCCAGTAAGAGGGCCACTGGCCTGCTTCTCTCCCTGATCTCACTCAAAAAAGTGAACCTGCCCTGAGGCCACATCCTGCTTCTATGATATGCCCTGCACAGAAGTCACACAGCCAACATGTTCAAGCACTCTGGGTGCCCACCATGTGCACTTCTGAGTCTCGGTTACACCATAAGGACAGGGATGAGTTGTCCTGACTGTTGGCCACCCGCACCCTCCATTCACATCAGCCCTGCATAGTCACCCAGGCCAAGGAGAACACACTGCTCTGGGAGAATATGACCTTATAACTTTATCTTTAAGCTGGTTCTGCCTCCTTAATTTCACCAACTGCTAGTGCCCCTAAACCAAGGTGGGGAGGCCTCCACTGGCTGAGGCTCAGCTCTGCTCCTGCTGCATGTTTGGGGATGCTTCCTGATAGAGAAGGAAGGGCAAGGGAATCAGGATCCTGGAGTGGCCCAGGACGCACAGCAGCAATCATGAACCCTGGCTCCCCTGCACTGGCCCCCAGCTACTTGCCTTGTTACTGCCCTCAAGCTCTCATCTCAGAGACCCTAGCTCACCTGTGGCTCGGACATAGATCACTGGGTACTTTCTGCTGAGATTAAGCTGGGAATCATGTCAGCTCAACCTGGCCAGCCTGGTGCCTCCAGCAACCCCATCAGCCTGGCCAGTCCAGCTACTGCCCTGGGAACACATACTCTGTCTTATCCCCGGCTGAGAAAATCAAGGGCAGGCCGGGGATTTAGCTCAGTGGTTCCGCTGCCTGCCTCGAAAACGTAAGGACCGGAGTTCAATCCCTGGTACCAAAAAAAAAAAAAAAAAAGAAAATCAAGGGCAAGGAGGGGTGGTGGCCCAAGGCCATACAGGCCTCGGCACCCAGGAGGCCAGGGCAGCCCCAGACTGTGGGAACATCTTCCTGCTAGGGCACTGACCCTCCAGTGCCCTCTGTCTTCCCACACTCCTTTGTGGGCTGAACAGCACAACTGGTTCCGGCTTGGGAGGGCTGGACTGAGGGCCTGGCGCCTGAGGGTAGCCTTAGGGTCACTGGCTGCCACTGTCCCCATGTAGCCCAGCTGGGCTGTTCCACTTCCCCTCTAGAGTTTAGGGAATATTGGAATTTTGTAATATTTGGGGTCTGAGGTTTACAGAGGTGGCCCTTGCACCCAGACCTACCTACCTCCCTCAGTCCCAGGCTCCTGTGGCTGGCTGTGTTGCCTGGCTGAAACCATTAAGCACGAGATGCTGGAAAAAAGGGCTCCCTGGTGAGTCTGAGGTCCTCTCCAGACATTAATTTGGTTGTAACTGTGCACTTGTGATTCTGTGTGAGGGATCTCAAGTGGATAGATATAGGAACAATACCTGCCCACTGTCAGAAGAGAACAGCCCTAGGAAACAGTCACTTGTCCCAGGTCTTGGGAAACAAATGATGGCAGCTTGTCTGTAAGCTCCACATGCCCTGGCTTGGCAAGGCTCGCCCACATGGACAGCTTCAGCAGAGACCAGCACCTTGTTCCCTTTGTCTCCAGCTACATCAGACCAGGCCAAACCACCAGTGCTTGTGTGGGGAGTATGGTTTTCTGGGTTGGGGCCCAGCAGGACCAGAGAAGCACGGGAATGTGGCAGGTGGTAGGGATGTGTGGAGGTGGGGTGTGACTGCCAAGTTTAGGAGTGCAGGGAGCCAAGGATCCTGCTGGGCAGGCCCTACAGGATCACTCTGTTAAGAGCCCAGAGGACACAACAGGCCAAGCCAAAGCTGGATGGTGAGGAGGGGGCTCCTCACCCACTGACTGCTGGGAGAGCTCAGCCCTGACTCACCAACCAGAACTTCAATCACCATACCAGACTTCAGGCCCCTGCATTTCTTCATTCTGTCCTCACCACCCATAGAATGGAGAGGTTTGGCGGGAGGGGGCCAGGTAGTCTGACTCCTCTGTGGGCATGCTAATTTATAGTTCTCAAAGACTGGCCATGGAACAGATAGGGCTCTATACCTCCTGGGGCTGAGTAGGGCCTGAGTCCAGTCTGAGGCCAGTGGCCAGCAGAGAAACTGGTTCCCAGGCCAGCCTCTGAGGTGTAGGCAGAGTCTAGAGCTTTGCTCAAGACTTCCCCTGGGGCTGACCCACTAGTGCATGCAATGAAGAATATCGTGGCAAGGTAGGCTCCAGGGTAGGCAAAACTCTCAGTGTCTCTGGGCTGTTCAAAGACCTGCCCAGAGTAGACACTATCCAGCAACCTGGGTTCTGATGGCTCACTCAGTGGCAGGTGCTGAGCTGAGGGTCAGGCTATATCCTGCCTGTTCTTCATACAGTGCCCAACATACCCAAGTGAAACTTCCAGACCACTAGATATCTCACTTTCCTTTCCTCCCCAGAAACCCCAGCAGGTCTTACAATAAGCCAGTGCATGACAGCTTGTGGTCTACCCAGCACCCCTTGATTGTTTCCCTACTTGTATATTTTCACCCTCCCAAAGTCATTGGGCTGTTACCTGCAAAACTAGTTGTTGCCAGGCCATTGGCAGAGACTGCCCACTGCCCATACCACCACTGCCCATGCCAGGTTGCTGGGCATTCTCCAGCTGCAGGGCAACGTGGCACCGTTCCTGCTCCAGCGCCCGAGTCAGCCGCTCGAAGCGGGCTTCCTGCTCCTTCACTGAGGCCAGGATGCTGGCTGCCGAGTGCACGTTGCAGTCCTCCATGGCCAGGGCACCAGCCAGCTGCAGGCAAAGCAGAGCAAGCTTAGGAGGGGCAGAGAAGCAGCTGGTGAGGATATCACAGGCCCCCTGTCCACTCTACTCACAGACTGTACGACTCACTCCCAGACCAGAGCATCTAGCTCTCTGGAGGGAAGCTGCATTGATTAAATTCTAAATTAAAAGCCATTAATCCAAGGCTGGCCGGAAGCAGCCAGATCTCTCCCTATGAGGCATGGGGCCCTGGCCCAGGCTCCTCCACTTCTTGCCAGGCCCAGCAGAATTGTGGACCATAGGCATCTCAGCACCTGCTGAAAAGGGAAGGAAGGGCTGGCCTGATGAATGCTCACTATCTTCTAAGTCCTCTGCTGCCCATAGCACATGCTGGGTCATCTCATTCTCATGGGACTTCCCAGTCCCTTCACAGAGGTGGCATTGAGATGTACATAGTGTAAGGGACCATGTGCAGCACACAGTAGGTATGGTAGAACTGCTGTAGCCAGCAGGCAGGAAGTGAGTGAGAAGCTGTTCTACTGCCACCAGCTACAGGGTGACCTGGGCAGGTGTGGCAGATGTGGGGTGACCACTGGCTTGGCATTCTCAGCAACACTGGCCTGGTGACAAGGAGTCTGGCCACCACTCAGCCACTCCAGCATGGCTTCACATACCAACTGACAACCAAGTCAAAGCCTGGTTGAGGTTCTGCCTAGGACCACATGAAGTTTAGAGTCCCTGTGTTCACAAGTGGCTTATATATGAAGCCTGAGCCAGAAGAAGACAGGGATCTGAGAAACTGAAGCCCAGCACTCAGGAAGGGCCAGGCCTAACCAGACCCTGGCCCAGCACTGCCCCTGTGGGTGCCAGAGTTCCAGGGCTTAGCATCTGCAGCAACGAGCCAGCACTTTTCCCCCACAGCTTGTTCCCTGGCTAGCCAATGTGTTTGTTTTTCAGGGGCAACAAGAAGCAGGCCAAAGTATGCAGAGCCCAGATGGAGGTTCACAATCATGGGTGGGTGCAGCCCTGTGGTCCCAGTGCCCAGGGATTGGTGTGTGGCTCGATGCCCAGTGCTGCTTGAGGCTTGCTCCTGGCTGGTCCCATGCCAGCTCACTGAGGCCAACTGTGCTGGATTCCACACCCCTGCACCAATGCACAGCCTGAGTTTAAAGGGGGGAGGCCCTTCCATAGGGATGTCACATGCAGTGGCTGATATCCACAGAGGACCCAGTCTGTTGTTCACTGGCCTAGATGAAGCCTGCTGCAAAGACAAAACCCCTAAAGACAGGAAGGCCACTACTGGGCTTGGCCACACAAGTGCTGGCTATGCCAGAGACATGGTATACCTCAGAGGTGAAGGGACACCATGGGGCCAACCCAACTATGACAGCTGGAGAAACTAAGGCCCAATGAAGGCAAGAGACCAGTGTAGGTCCTCACAGGCGCTTTTCATTTCCCTTTTACCTGTCACACAAATAAAACTGTTAATATGACCTTTCAGGGATGCCAGTGTGGGCAGAGGAGGTGTTAAGACAGAATGAACAAAACTGCAGAGGTGGTAGCCACCACTGGGGAAAGGGGTTGGAGAGTGAGGTGGAGACTGGGTCCTCTGGCCACCATGGCATACAGGGACAAACAGTACAGCATCCCCACTCAGCCCTCCTGTGTACATACGGCAGCACATAGGCCCAACCTAGGCACAGACACTCGGCCTATGCCTGTATGGACTGAGCCCATGTTGGTACCCAAATGGGTATGGTGAGCCCTTCCTTCCTGGGAGAGCCAGGGTGAGTGGCAGGAACCAGGCCATGTGAATCATTAGCCAAGTCTTGTTTGCAGACTTGGCCCATTTCAGCTGAGACTTAGAACCCAGAGGCAGAAGGGACTATGACACTGTTCCTTGGTGGCAATGATTGGGACCCATAGGACAACTGTTGGCCTTGTGGACAAGAGATAGCTTCCTTCCCTCCTTGTGCAAAGACACAGACTCCTGCCTGAGCTTGGGTTCCATCCTACTGTACTCCTCAACCCCCATCCAGCAGGAGCAGGTCTGAGCTACAAACATTGCCCTGAGCCTTCCTTCCCCTCAAGCCAAGCATGCCTTTGGTTCTGGGGTCCAAAGAGGCCCATCCTGAAGGGGGACTGCTGGCTCCAGCTGGGAGCTGGCTGGGGGCCCAGAATTCTGAGGCCACTGTGAGAAGGTGGCCAAACCCCACACTGGCTTTCCCATTGCTCAATTCAGTTCACTTAGTGAGAAATGACTGTGTGTCTCCTGGGTTACATCTCCAAACACTGGCCAGAATGGCAACACCCACAAGACAACAGAGACCTGGGCCCTGCCATCTGCCCTGGCCCCACTGCATGCTCTGTCTGCCCCTGGGTATGCACTGAGCCCTAACAACAGTAGGCATCTAGATAGCACCCTAAATATGCTGGCTCTGAGTCCATGCACAGGAACATGTGTGGATAGAGGTGACCCAGGCCCAGCACTCCAAAGGACATCTTTTCTAGATGGCAACTCAAAATGCTATTTTTGTATTGAAACAATAAAAACGCTCTATCATGGAAAGCAAAATGCACGTGAATTTTTAAGATCAATCATGAAGACTTCAAAGGCATTTTTCCCAGCTGGGGCTCAGGGCAGGGCACAGAGCTGTACTTCTTGGCTGGGGGTGGGCATGCTTCTTCTAGGAACCAGGGAGCCCCTCACAGCCACGCAAGGAAGCATATGCTATGGGTCCTCTCTGACCCATGTCATGACCTCTTCGGATCTGGGAAACTACGTCTCTGTCTGCAGGTTGGGTCCCTACAGCCCTACTCAGACCACAGCAACCAACCTCACACTTCCTCTGAGAAAGCTGCTTCTTAACAAACATGCCTACCCATGATACTGATTCAGCAATAAGGAATAATATAAGGGACCCACAAATAATGACACAGCAGGATCAGGTGGCAACACGGATCTCCAGACCAAAAAACATCAGGAACCTGGGAGAGGGGTTAAAAGATCAGGACTCAGATTAAACCCTGATAAATTCACCTGCAAAAGAAAAGATAGACGAGTCCCAGCACAACACACACTAGCTATCAATGCCCTGCATACAGGAGGTGACACAAGGGAAGAAGCCCAGGAGAAGAAGCCAGCGGCCCAGGTCACATGGGCTTGAAGGAGATGGGAGTAAGAGTAATCCACAAATAGGCAGGTGGGGGGATAGACAGGTGGGTAAATGGGAGGACGGGCAGGTGGGTAGATTGAGGAGTAGTAGGATTTGTGGATGAACAAATGAGAAGCTGGACTGCTGGAGGGATGGCTTGACAGATGGGTGGATGAATGGATAGATGGATGGACAGATACATTAGTGGGTGGGTGGAAGAAGGAATGGGAGAATGGAAGGAGGAATGAATGGGAGAGAGAACAGGTATGTGCACAGCAGAGTGATGAAATAGTTATATGAGAAGATGAAGGGTCAATGAAAGCATAGTTAGATGGGTAGGCAGACAGTGGGTAGATGGGGAAAAAGCTGGGTAGAAGTCTAGACAGATGGGATGACCAGAGACTGGACAGATGAGGAGGGCAGATGAGAGTGAATGCATAGATGGGTATATGGATGGATTAGTAGAGTCAGATAAGTATTGCTTTTTGGTACTGGGGATTGAACTCGGGACCTTGTGCTTGCGAGGCAGGTGCTGGAACCACTGAGCTAAATCCCCGGCCCCTCGTATTGTTAAAGCTCTGCAACACTCCTGGAAGGCCCTATGACTACCAGGGCAAATGTGGTCAAGACTAGTTCTATCAGACTAGTTCCATCGGAAGAACTTGAGATAGAAGCTGAATCTTTCCCCTGAAACCAAAACCGACATCTGACATCTTCTTGCTGATCCAGACATTCTTCCTCAGAAGGAGTCCAGCCAAAGCTCTGCTCTGGAAAATCAAATTATGGGGCCAGAGTCCAATCTGGGTTGAAGAATTAGAGGAATTTCCTAACAATCAGGCCAGCAGGGGGGCAGGCAGGGCCCGCCCGGCTCCACTCCTGAGCCTTTGCCAACCAGGGAGGGGACTAGGAACACTGAATCTCCTTCTACTCCCCACTCTATACTCTGCCCATGCTAAGGAGGACATGATATCAGAAAGTGGCCCAACAGAGGTCACACCCAAAACCCACTTTCTCTGCCTGGGAGGAAACTGTGCTCTCTCACAAAGCAGCTGGGGTGCTGCCGCAGCTCTGTCAGCAGTTTGCTCCCTACATCAGTTGACCAGGACTTGTGGGAGCCCTATCATTATCCCGTTGCTCCTTCTGGAGTCAGATGGTGCCTAAAGCTTCAGGGATAGCTTCTAGCCAAGCCCACAAGAACAGGCACTGTGCCCAGGCCGAGGATAAGGTGAAACAGGAGGCCTAGGGCCTGGAGCTCACACAAGGTGGAGCCCATGTCCATCTGTGCTGAAGGCCAGGACCACATGATCTCTGGCAGAGAGTGCAGGGTCTGGGGAGGAGGGTGCTATTCTCAGCCTCTCAGCAATGGAAGGAACTGCTAAAGAAAGATGCACTATCGTCACTTTGAAAAAGTGCCACATAGCATGGTGGCTGTTGTTTCTTAAGTGTGCCTAAGAGTGACAGGCAATGAGCACATGGAGTAATGGGCAGAGGTGTTACTTGTAGATCATGATGTCAGCACAGCAGAGGCTGGTATGGGGTGTGTGGGACTCACTGCATTCCTCTCACTGCTTTTGTGCCTTTGTTATTTTCTATAATAGAAAGTAAAAAGGGTACTAGGAGTAGTGGCACATACCTGTAATCCCAGATACTCATGAGGCTGAAGAAGGAGGATCACTTGAGCCCAAGAGACACTGTTTCAAAAGGGTGGGGGGCAATACAGAATACCAAACGATAACTGACATGTTGGGATGAAATATTTGTAATATCTGGCAATAAAATAACATCTTTAATCTGTAAGAAACTCTTATAAATCAGTAAAAAAAAAAATCCAACTTAAAGTGGGTAAAAAGACAAACAGGTGATGTGGTTGGAGAT